ACAGATCTGTGGCTCAGTGGTTAGAGAGTTGTGTTGCAAGTAAGAAGTCCTGGGTTCAAATCTCATTATTGCACACATTAAATAAACGCCATTATATCTGACAAACTTTGCTAAACTCCTCAACCTAGAGTGAAAGTCACAGTGGTGCTACTGGCTGAACACATGTTCTCCATGCTGAAGGCTGTCATAAAGACTTGGGTTCTAAGCCCAGCTCTGCTCCTTTATTGCACATCAGGCAGTGAAATATTAGTCAAATATGAGTTCCAGCACATCTTTCTTTATGTGATCTGTGGCTCAGTGGTAGAGCAATGCCTCATGGGTTTAGAGGTCGCTGGTTCAATCCCAGCCAGATCACTGTGATATGTGTGAATGTGGTGTGAAAGAAGGGGTGGGATGGGTCGGGTCCCACCCTGACCTACGGGGCCATGTACAGCAGGGGTTATGCTGCTTTTTACCACAAAATAAATTTAGCTGTATAAAATTCTGGACCCCCGTCCCTTCTCCTCCCGTTTCGGTTACCATCATTTCCTTTCCAGAGGGACGACCCCCCAGAAAGAAAATGATGGTAACCGACACACCAAACCTCAAACACAAGGTGCGGGTCTCACCTGTCCAGCAGCAGACGTCCATCCTTACAGTCCATGGCTGTCAAATGTCCCAGAGCTCTGATTCTGTAGGCTGAACAGTCCAAACACAACCTTCATTCTGGAGAGGAAACACACAAATGAACATTTAACAGCAGAAAACACATCTAAAACACCAGAGTTCATCACTTCATCATCAACGTAACAACTCATAAACAGAAGAAGATCACATGTACAGATATACAGATATTGTCTAGTTGACAGGTACAGTATTAAACACTGCAGCTGTTCAAAACCAAATCAGTTCACCTTTTTAACAAGCATTTAACAAGCAAGTTAACAAGCTGTTCCACAGCTCATGTCAGTGATTGTACAAGCAAAACAATGACTTAAAAGAGAAATGACACTTACAGGTGAGTCTCTTCACTCCATTCCTGCACTTTATCGCAGATTCCGCTGCTTTAATTTGCTGTTGAGCTGGAATATGTGCTGTTTAAACACATTAAGAGTCTGTCGCTAAGCTGTCATTTGTAAATTGTGTATTTAAATCAAACTGCACGCGTTTTGTTTTGGTGTCTGTCATCACGCGCTCCTTGTTGTCAAACAAACACCTGAAGCTGAGTCAGACAGGACGTGAAGTCGCTCGCGCCGCCTAGTGGAGCGGATGAAGAACTGCACTTTCGCTTCAGTGAACTGGATCAGGCTAAACTGGGGCTTGATTTTCGTAAATTTGCAAACTAATCTATGATTTATTTAGGATCTGAAGAAGCTGATGTGGTAAGGTAGTGGTATAACACAAGCCTCAAGTGTAAACACTGAGAACAGGACAAAAGATTTCCAGAAGCTCGTTTAGTCTGTGTCTCTGTGCAGTTTATCTGTTTCACATCTGTCTTAAGTGTTCACTTAAACTTGTTTTGTTTTGATGTCACTGTGCACATTAAAAGTAGCATTTGACTTAATTATTGTGTGCAAACGGCATGTTTGGAGATATGAATGTGTTTAAATGGAGATTGCTTTCAATTTATTTAAACTGATGATAATAATGACAAGTAAACATTAACTGGCAGCTTTATTTCTAACAGATGCATGAGAGCAGATCAGTGCTTCAGCTCCATCTTGTGGACATTAAGAGGACCTGCATTAATACATGAAAACTGAATTAAATCAAGACTTTTCTTTTCTCGAGCGCTTGTCTAATCCTGATCCTGAAGATCCACTTCAGTATTTCACCTCCAGCCTGATCAATAACACCTGATGCTGTTATTAAAGTCTTTCAGATCACAAGAAGCTTCAAGGCGAATGAGACTCTTGTTTTTATTTCAAATAACTTGAATAAATGAATGTTTACGAATGATGTTCGTGTTATCAGTTTAATGAATTATTATTTCTGCATGTGACATTTTAAATCAATCCAAAAATGAGTCTCGAACAGTTGAAACACTTTAGTTTTAATAAAGAGTAAAGACTGGAGACTCAGTGGCTCAGCATTAAAGTGTGGTGTGTTAGTCAAGAAGACGTGAGTTCAAATCTCATTATTGCTTGTGTTGAAACCATGAGCTGCAGTAAATTCATCAAAGTGTCTGAAACAGTGTGCAGTTAGTGTGTAAACAGCAGTGGCTCAACTGACTAAAACACACCTAAACTGAACTAAGATTGCAATGAAGTGAGAGGTTTGAGCACAGCAGTGTGACTTTAGTGGTTGTATTGTTTATTCACAAGGCACATGACAGGTGAAGACTCAAATATAACTTCTTTCAGATGTTCAGGATCAAGATCTGTGGTATAGAGGTAGATACACTGCTATGTTGGATTGGAATTTGCTGTGTTGGTACTATTGTTATAGTATTTACTCATATAGGGACTCTTGCTCGCAAGAGAGAGCTGATAATCTCAAAAGCTCAACTTTAGAGGATGAGTATGCAGATAATAAAGTGTAAAATTATATGTTTTCAGTAACTGAACAAAGTGAAACTACGTTTTTAGAAGCGGAAGTGCAGTTCTTCACCCGCTCCACGAGGCGGCGCGAGCGGCTTCGCGTCCAGTCTGACTCACAGCTTCAGGTGTTTGTTTGACAACAAGGAGCGCGTGATGACAGACACCAAAACAAAACACGCGCAGTTTGATTTAAATACAAAATTTACAGATGACAGCTCAGCGACAGACTCTTAATGTGTTTAAACAGCACATATTCCAGCTCAACAGCAAATTAAAGCATCGGAATCTGCGATAAAGTGCAGGAATGGAGTGAAGAGACTCACCTGTAAGTGTCATTTCTCTTTAAGTCATTGTTTTGCTTGTACAATCACTGACATGAGCTGTGGAACAGTCTTTACATTTAATTTTTTTAAGTCATTGATATGTAGTTTAAATGGTGTCATTATAACAGGACTCGTCTGTCAGTTCATATGGTGTGATGGATCAAATGTGTTGAACACTGACAATCAAAGCTGATTTTGATGCTGTCTTTAATGTAAATGTTTTAGAAAGTGCCATCGGGCAAATAAGCATGCATGATGCTTGTCTCAGCCTCCTTGAAATATCTGATTGTTTACATGTTTCTTGCTAATGTCATGGTAAGACTGTTTATAGCTTTTTTTAAATGATTATAAATAAGATATTTCTAGAGTAAAGAGGCATAAATCTGGACTTATGCTTGTTAAAAAAGTCAATTAAAGTGCTTTTGTTGAGCTGCAGTGTTTAATACTGTACCTGTCAACTAGACAATATCTATATATCTGTACATGTGATCTTCTGTTTATGAGCTGTTATGTTGATGATGAAGTGATGAATTCTGATGTTTTAGATGTGTTTTCTGCTGTTAAGTGTTCATTTGTGTGTTTCCTCTCCAGAATGAAGGTTGTGTTTGGACTGTTCAGCCTACAGAATCAGAGCTCTGGGACATTTGACAGCCATGGACTGTAAGGATGGACGTCTGCTGCAGGACAGGTGAGACCCGCACCTTGTGTTTGAGGTTTGGTGTGTCGGTTACCATCATTTTCTTTCTGGAGGGTCGTCCCTCTGGAAAGGAAATGATGGTAACCGAAATGGGGGGAGAAGGGACAGGGGTCCAGATTTTTATACAGCTAAATTTAATTTTGTGGTAAAAAGCAGCATAACCCCTGCTGTACATGGCCCCGTAGGTCAGAGTGGGACCCGACCCATCCCACCCTTTCTTTCACACCACATTCACACATATCGCAGTGATCTGACTGGGATTGAACCAGCAACCTCTTAACCCATGAGGCAGTGCTCTACCACTGAGCCACAGATCACATAAAAAAAGATGTGCTGGAGCTCATATTTGACTAATATTTCACTGCCTGATGTGCAATAAAGGAGCAGAGCTGGGCTTCGAACCCAAGTCTTTATGATAGTCTTCAGCATGGAGAACATGTGTTCAGCCAGTAGCACCACTGTGACTTTCACTCTTGGTTGAGGAGTTAAGCAAAGTTTGTCAGATATAATGCCACTTATTTCATCAATGCAATAACGAGATTTGAACCCAGGACTTCTTAATGGTAACACAAAACTCTAACCACTGAGCCACAGATCTCTTGTAGGAAAACATGCTGGAAATTATATTTCACTCTGATTTTATATTATTCTGTTAAAACATCAAAAAGCTGAAGCAGGATTTGAACTCACAACTCCAGCATCAGAGAACATGTGTTTAACCACTTGCACCACTGTGACTTCCATATGAGAGCAGGTGTTTGTTTGAATTAGACTGTGTCAGCATAGCTTGACGCTTGTTAGTTGAAGGTCCTTCATTAACAGCCCCAGGTGTTTTGAATAAGGTTGGAGGTGAACTGGAGAGTGGATCTTCAGGATCAGGATTTTTCCTTTTAGTGCTTAATTTTTCGTGTATTAATGCAGATCCACATATTGTCCACAAGACGGAGCTCAAACACTGATTTGTTCTCATGCATCAACGCATTTAATGGCAGCTTCATTTAAAACAGAGGTGAAAGTCATCAGATCAGTGTTTCAGCTCCATCTTGTGGACAATATGTGGATCTGCATTAATACACGAAATCTGAATTAAATCGAGCCTTTTTTTCTCTCAAGCAGTTGTCTGATCCTGATCCTGTAGATCCACTCTCCAGTTCACCTCCAACCTGATTCAAAACACCTGAGGCTGATAATGAAGGACCTTCAGCTAACAAGAAGCTTCAAGCTTATTAGTTGTGCATCTGACATCTTAAGGTCATCTCAAAATTACTCGGACAGCAGAAATAACTTTGTCACACATACTTACACAGATAATAGACTGAAAGATTAGAATATCAGGAGCTGAATAAAAAAAGTGTGTGAAAATCTCCTGCCCTTATTACAGGCTCTGTGTCTCAGTGGATAATCAGCTGCACTCTCTGTGCTCAAGTCTGGAAATGAAACCTTACTTTTAAATATGACCCATGGGTTTAAATGTCACTTTTAATTGTGAAGATAGATGTCCTAAAATGTAACAAAGTCTCCAAAACACCAGCATTTAGCACGAAAGTCACAGTGGTGCATCTGGTTAGACGTGTTCACTGTTGTGGGTTCAAATCCCTCTTTAAATGATGCTAAATATGTTATTAGATCTGACAACGAGTCAAACACATGTGCTTTCAGTGTTGTAGGCACAGTGGTGCATGTGGTTATAGACATGGTTTCAGGGTGATGGAGTTAGAGATTCAAATCCTGTTTCAGCCTCTTTTAACAGGATTGTTGTAAAATCAGAGTGAAATATAAGTTCCACCATAAACACAGCCCACATATTTGTGGCTCAGTGGTTAGAGTGCTGCATTAATATTAAGAAGTCCTGTGTTCAAGTCTCATATATATTAAATGAACAGCATTTCATCAGACAAACTTTGCTAAACTCCTCAAACATCTGTGAAAGCCACAGTGGTGCTCCTGTCAGAACACATGTTCTCCATGGTATAGGCTGTAGTAGAGACTTGGATTCAAAGCCCAGCTCTGCTCATTTATTGCACACCCGGAAGTAAAATAATAGTCAAATATAAATTCCAGCATGTCATCCTGTGTGAGATCTGTGGCTCAGTGGTAGAGCAATGCCTCATGGGTTAAGAGGTTGCTGGTATAATCCCAACCAGATTGCTGTGATATGTGTGAATCTTCTCTTGATGATTGAATCAAGGGTCCAAATCCTCCTTCTGCCTGTTTTAACAGAATAATTGTAAAAGCAGAGTGAAATATAATTCCCAGCATGTGCTCAGACAACAGATCTGTGGCTCAGTGGTTAGAGAGTTGTGTTGCAAGTAAGAAGTCCTGGGTTCAAATCTCACTGTTGCACAGATTAAATAAACGCCATTATATCTGACAAACTTTGCTTAACTCCTCAAACTAGAGTGAAAGTCACAGTGGCGCTACTGGCTGAACACATGTGCTCCATGCTGAAGGCTGTCATAAAGACTTGGGTTCAAAGCCCAGCTCTGCTCCTTTATTGCACATCAGGCAGTGAAATAATAGTCAAATATGAGTTCCAGCACATCTTTATTTATGTGATCTGTGGCTCAGTGGTAGAGCAATGCCTCATGGGTTAAGAGGTCGCTGGTTCAATCCCAGCCAGATCACTGCGATATGTGTGAATGTGGTGTGAAAGAAGGGGTGGGATGGGTTGGGTCCCACCCTGACCTACGGGGCCATGTACAGCAGGGGTTATGCTGCTTTTTACCACAAAATAAATTTAGCTGTATAAAAATCTGGACCCTCGTCCCTTCTCCTCCCATTTCGGTTACCATCATTTCCTTTCCTGAGGGACGACCCTCCAGAAAGAAAATGATGGTAACCGACACACCAAACCTCAAACACAAGGTGCGGGTCTCACCTGTCCAGCAGCAGACGTCCATCCTTACAGTCCATGGCTGTCAAATGTCCCAGAGCTCTGATTCTGTTGGCTGAACAGTCCAAACACAACCTTCACTCTGGAGAGGAAACACACAAATGAACACTTAACAGCAGAAAACACATCTAAAACACCAGAGTTCATCACTTCATCATCAACATAACAGCTCATAAACAGAAGATCACATGTACAGATATACAGATATTGTCTAGTTGACAGGTACAGTATTAAACACTGCAGCTGTTCAAAACCAAATCAGTTCACCTTTTTAACAAGCATTTAACAAGCAAGTTAACAAGCTGTTCCACAGCTCATGTCAGTGATTGTACAAGCAAAACAATGACTTAAAGAGAAATGACACTTACAGGTGAGTCTCTTCACTCCATTCCTGCACTTTATCGCAGATTGCGCTGCTTTAATTTGCTGTTGAGCTGGAATATGTGCTGTTTAAACACATTAAGAGTCTGTCGCTAAGCTGTCATTTGTAAATTGTTTATTTTTAATCAAACTGCACGCGTTTTGTTTTGGTGTCTGTCATCACGCGCTCCTTGTTGTCAAACAAACACCTGAAGCTGAGTCAGACAGGACGTGAAGTCGCTCGCGCCGCCTAGTGGAGCGGATGAAGAACTGCACTTTCGCTTCAGTGAACTCGATCAGGCTAAACTGGGGCTTGATTTTCGTAAATTTGCAAACTAATCTATGATTTATTTAGGATCTGAAGAAGCTGATGTGGTAAGGTAGTGGTATAACACAAGCCTCAAGTGTAAACACTGAAAACAGGACAAAAGATTTCTAGAGGCTCGTTTAGCACCTGTATATAATGTTCATAGTACATCCATCTGTAAATATCACCATAGTTTTCTATAACTGCACTTTATAACTTATTCCTGTATCCTGCACTTGCTGCTATTGCACTGCTGGTTAGACCTAAACTGCATTTCGTTGCATTTTACTTGTACATGTGGAATGACAATAAAGTTGAATCTAATCTAATCTAGTCTGTATCTCTGTGCAGTTTATCTTTTTCTCATCTGTCTTAAGTGATGTTCACTTAAACTTGTTTTGTTTTGATGTCACTGTGCACATTAAAAGTAGCATTTGACTTAATTGTTGTGTGCAAACGGCATGTTTGGAGATATAAATGTGTTTAAATGGAGATTGCTTTCAATTTATTTAAATTGATGATAATAATGACAAGTAAACATTAACTGGCAGCTTCATTTCTAACAGATGCATGAGAGCAGATCAGTGCTTCAGCTCCATCTTGTGGACAATAAGAGGACCTGCATTAATACATGAAAAGTGAATTAAATCAAGACTTTTCTTTTCTCGAGCGCTTGTCTAATCCTGATCCTGAAGATCCACTTCAGTATTTCACCTCCAGCCTGATCAATAACACCTGAAGCTGTTAATTAAAGTCGTTCAGATCACAAGAAGCTTCAAGGCGAATGAGACTCTTGTTTTTATTTCAAATAACTTGAATAAATGAATGTTTACGAATGATGTTCGTGTTATCAGTTAAATGATTTATTATTTCTGCATGTGACACTTTAAATCAATCCAAAAACGAGTCTTGAACAGTTGAAACACTTTAGTTTTAATAAATAAAATGATTGTATGAAGAGTCTGTTTCGCTGGTCACTGGCTCAGTGGATAATCAGCTACATGTTCCGTGCAGAAGCCTGGAGTTCAAATCCCTCTTTTGATTGTGATAAACAGTGGTTATTAAATGCAACAAAGTGTCCAAAATACCAGTGTAAAGTGTGAAAGTCACAGTGGTGCAAGTGGTTAAGCACATGTATTCTGATGATGGAGTTGTGGATTCAAATCCTGCTTGTTGATGTTTTAACAGAATAATTGTGAAAGCAGAGTGAAATATAAATTCCAGCAAGTGTTTAGTCATCAGATCTGTGGCTCAGTGGTTAGAGCATTGTGTTACCATTAAGAAGTTCTGGGTTCAAACCTCATTATTGCACACATTAAATAACTGGCATTATATCTGACAAACTTTGCTAAACTCCTCAAACTAGAGTGAAAGTCACAGTGGTGCTACTGGCTGAACACATGTTCTCCATGCTGAAGGCTGTTGTAAAGACTTGGGTTCAAAGCCCAGCTCTGCTCATTTATTGCACATCAGGCAGTGAAATATTAGTCAAATATGAGTTCCAGCACATCTTTCTTTACGTGATCTGTGGCTCAGTGGTAGAGCAATGCCTCATGGGTTAAGAGGTCGCTGGTTCAATCCCAGCCAGATCACTGCGATATGTGTGAATGTGGTGTGAAAGAAGGGGTGGGATGGGTCGGGTCCCACCCTGACCTACGGGGCCATGTACAGCAGGGGTTATGCTGCTTTTTACCACAAAATTAAATTTAGCTGTATAAAAATCTGGACCCTCGTCCCTTCTCCTCCCGTTTCGGTTACCATCATTTCCTTTCCAGAGGGACGACCCTCCAGAAAGAAAATGATGATAACCGACACACCAAACCTCAAACACAAGGTGCGGGTCTCACCTGTCCAGCAGCAGACGTCCATCCTTACAGTCCATGGCTGTCAACTGTCCCAGAGCTCTGATTCTGTTGGCTGAACAGTCCAAACACAACCTTCATTCTGGAGAGGAAACACACAAATGAACACTTAACAGCAGAAAACACATCTAAAACACCAGAGTTTATCACTTCATCACCAACATAACAGCTCATAAACAGAAGATCACATGTACAGATATATAGATATTGTCTATTTGACAGGTACAGTATTAAACACTGCCTGCAGCTCTACAAAAGCTCTTTAATTGACTTTTTACAAGTATAAGTCCAGATTTATGCTGCTTTACAATATAAATATCTTAATTCTACTTGTTAAAAATACATAAACAAAGTCTGACAGTGACAATAGCAAGAAAGATGTAAACAAAGTCTGATAATCATCATGTAAGCTGAGACAACCTTCAGTCAAGCTCATGTTGAAATAGCAAATCCCCCTTGTAATATAGTGTAGATTAAAGACACCATCAAAATCATTTAAAATCTTACAGTGTTCAACATATTTCATCCATCATAATGCAAATATAAATAAACTGACAGACGAGTCTTTCACAACATCTCAGTAAATATATACCAGTGATTATTATAAATGTGTAAAGACTTTTCCACAGCTCATGTCTGTCACTTTACAAGCAAAGCAATGACTTAAAGAGAAATTACACTTACAGGTGAGTCTCTTCACTCCATTCCTGCACTTTATCGCAGATTCCGCGTCTTTAATTTGCTGTTGAGCTGGAATATGTGCTGTTTAAACACATCAAGAGTCTGTCGCTGAGCTGTCATCTGTAAATTGTGTATTTAAATCAAACTGCACGCGTTTTGTTTTGGTGTCTGTCATCACGCGCTCCTTGTTGTCAAACAAACACCTGAAGCTGTGAGTCAGACTGGACGCGAAGCCGCTCGCACCACCTAGTGGAGCGGATGAAGATCTGCACTTCTGCGTAATACTTTGAATGCCAAAACAAATAGTTATTTCTAAAGTTTTTTAAAAAGCAATTTAAAATCATTTTCTCCGTAATCATAACTTCAATAATAGATATATCTTTCCCATGTAAACATATAGGCTATGTAATAAACAAATGTTCAAAGATAGCCTACAGAGCACCTAAAGTCCTATGTCCTGTGCATGCTTAAGTCTTCATCGTTATTCATGCAATTTACGCACATATCACAGACAAATTAGTTTTCACACAATTTTTATTGTTTTTTTTAGTGCTTGTAACACTACATATATTTTATTGTAAGGATTTTTACTTACATCTGAAACGGTACATATATATTGCAATAATATTAAACTGAAGGTCTGTCCTGTAGACGAAAAGAAGACTTTCCACATAAAAGCCTAACATCATTCATTCACAACGACAAAAAATATGATCAAAGCAGTAGAACTATCAACATAATAAGAACAAACATCATATAAGACAATCCCCCACTGTTCATAAACCAAACATGTCTGCAACTAAAGCACAACCACATACAAAACAAACACAAATGTCGATGTCTAAACGGATTAAAAATGAGAAACATATATTCATGCATGCAGTCATAAATGAATCAAACGTCACAAGCAGGACAAAACAATACAATCGACTCAGTTGATCAAGATGGTATCAATATTCCACCTTCCCAAAATCTTGTATTCTCCCTCGTGTAATCAAGTTTCTTCCATGATATAAGTATAAGAAACTCAAACAATGCTTTTCAAGTATGAATACAATGAACAATACGATACTTTGAAATAATATGTAGACAAACACAAAGCATCATTTCAATTCCTCTCCGAATGGATTTGATCCAACAAACCTTTTAAATCTTCATCAAAATAAAAAGAAGCAACACAGATCTCTCTAAATGAATACACACACACACACACACATATATATATAAACATCTGTAAATGATCTGCGTAAATATATCAGCATTATTCAGCAACATCTGTAAATATAGAAAAGTTCTGCACCTAAACACGATCAATATACTGTAAGTAATGACTGCCGTTTTATTGCAGTAACACTGTCAAGTGAACACTCCAGTTAAACATGACTTGGCATTGATCATCTCTATGTAACATATTAATAAACAACAACAAAATCAATCATTCCCCCCTAAATTTAGGCATCGTACCGCATTGCTGTTCAGTCGTTTTGGTACTGCAGTGATTCCCTTGAACGGATCAATTAATAGTGTCTGCGTGATGATATGTTGATGCTTGTCTATTTGGATTTCAGGGGGCTGCTGGGAGGTCCTGGGGGGATGTGGTTTTGGGTGTCGCTGAAGAGCAGGCTTTTTAGGATGCTGAAGTAGAAAGGGCCGTACACCTTCTTGTTGAAGTTGACGAGGTTGGCGAAGCTGAGGCTCAAGGGCATGAGCTCCTGCTGAATCAGGGTCAGGCCTGGAGGGACGGGAGGAGGCGTCCTGTGAGAGCTGGAAGATGAGAGGACAACCCACAGGTACTGCTGGACCCTGCCCTCTGCGGGAAACAACAGAGGCATGGTAAGGATGATGATGATGGTGTTTTTTATTTAATGTCATGTCAGCAACAAAGGCTATTTTCATGGCAAGAACATTTCATTGATTAATATACAAAATCCACAAACAAATTATACCTGAGTTTTTTTACGTTAATCAAGCTTCTACAATTTTTCCTGGTGACACTTTGCTAAATATCTCAACAGTATCTGGATGCAGCCTTGATTCTGCAATCTGAGACTGCGTATCTCAGTGATGCAATGTCAGACACAATGCACTCAATGGAGCTAGTGACATCACTGTGAGAGGTGGGGTTAGGTGAGCGCATTAAAAAGCATTGCATGCAGCTCAGATTGCACAGCACCAGGTCTGCATCCAGACCTCTCTTTAACCGCATGGTAAAAAGATACACGCTTGCAAAAGACTTTAATAAATCAGTAAAAAGTCTATTGTACATAAAAAATAAATGTGATATCTGATAGAAACATAATACTTATCAGTACCGATCGTGTGGACACGAAATGTGAACATGATTTTAGCATTTAAAAAGCATGCTAACATATTTATTATATGTAATCTAAGGTAAAACTTTATTTTGATGGTCCATTTGAGAATCAGTAGACTGCCTGCTTAATGTCTGTTGATGCTGCTCCTTCAACAGACAACTGACTATAAGGAACTATGCAAGTGCATGTCAGCTTACACTAACCCTAACCTCAACCTAACAGTCTACTTATAATCTAATGAGAATTAGTTGCAGTGAAACTAAAATTCAACAAACAGACCATCAAAATAAACCTAATTTAATTATATTTCTAATATGTTTATATCTTAACGCCTAAAACAAATGTAATAGATTTAATAAATCGAATAGATTTATAAACTTAAAATGTCTTAAAATGCACTTTTAAATCTTACAAAAATGTACCCAATCACCCAAAAACACAAGTGCATCACCATAAACTAGATGTTTTTTCTTTTAATATTGCAGGAGAACCGTATTTTACGATGTTTTTTTTTTGTGAAATTGATTTGGTCATTGTACTGCAGCAAAAAGCAGATAAATATTCTGTCTTTGTCTTATTATATATTATAATTTTTGTATTATTTACTTATGTTATAAAGTAAAAATAGCAGTGAATAATATTGATGAATCTTATACAAAGTAAAAGTTTGTTTTGAATTGCTGTTTTAAATATGTGTGTGTTTGTATGTGCACTGTGTATATTTATAGTATGTGTATGTATATGCATGCATATTTTTGAGAAAATATTTATTTATATTTACAATATATATATTCATTCATTCATTCATTTTCTTTTTGGCTTAGTCCCTTTATTAATCCAAGGTCGCCACAGCAGAATGAATCGCCAACTTATCTAGCAAGTTTTTACTCAGCGGATGCCCTTCCAACCGCAACCCATCTCTGGGAAACATCCACACACACTCATTCACACTCATACACTTCGGACAATTTTTAGCCTACCCAATTTACCTATACCGCATGTCTTTGGACTGTGGGGGAAACCGGAGCACCCGGATATATGTAAAAGAATTGTTGTATATTTTAGTTTTTATGTACAGTATGTGTATAACATGTTCATAAACACACATATCTTATGTCATAACAAACTTTTTAAATTCTTTACTTTAGATGTGATTAATCGCAATTAATCTTTGCCCAGTACTGAAAAATACTAAACATTCTGAAATATACTATTGTGATTTTTATTAAATTTAAGTACCCTATTTAATTTCAATACCACTATAAACATAAACTAACATTATTTTTCACATTTATTACAACAACACTATAAGCAAATAATTAAAGTTTTCTGAAGTAATTTACTACATTTCATTATATTAACACTATAAGCAAATAATAATTGTACTTATAATAAATTAATTTGCTACATTTAATTTTAATAACATGTTTTCTTGAATATTTGGTAGTTTGGGATGTATTTTACATGAAGCGTTTTTTTTTTTATAACAAATATTTAAATTATAGACCATTTACTTGTCTATTTAAATGTGTAAAAAGTATTTCTTACCAATTAAATAGTTTTTTTTTTTTTTTTAGAAAGATAGTACTCGTACTCTCAACTGATTCTGAACACTCCTTTAAAATGTGTTTTCCTCACCAACAAGAGTGCGCACTGGGTTGTTTTCCTGAGTGACGTCACAGATCTGCCCTTTAAGTGTGGCCTGCAGTTCATCGGGCAGAGCAGGGAAGTTTCTTTCAGCCAGAGACTTGTTGACCTCACAGCAGATCTGAACACTGACGTTTCCCAGAGCTTCATTCAGCTTGAACTCTCTGTAAACCGAAACAAATCGCCGTCAGAACGAGACCTGCCTTACGGTCATGTTGAAATATGTGAGACTAGTTTAAAGTATAGAAGTATGTGTTCTGGGCATACGTGTTGTGCATTCCCTCCAGCAGCACTACTGTCATCTTTTTCAGTCTCTCAGCTAGAGCGGGCAGGCCAGACACGGCTCCTCCGATCGAGCTGTAGACGATCAGCAGAACAGACGCCACAGTCTGATAGAGCTGGAGAGATCTCTGCATTACCTGCAGCCGAGCTTCGTCCGTCATCACTGTCTGTAAGATAAACACACGCACACACACACACACACACACACACACACACACACACACACACGCACACACACACACACACACACACACACACACACACACACACACACACACACACACACACACACACACACACACACACACACACACACACACACACACACACACACCGTTAGATAGTTTTAAAGGGTTAGGGTTAGGGTTAGGGTTTTAAAGGGAGAGTTCACTCAAAACAATGTTGCTATCATTCACTTGTTACAAATCTGTGTGTGTTTTTGTTTTCTGTTGAACACAAAAGAAGATATTTTGAAAAATGTTGAAAACCTGTAACCACTGACTTCCATAGAATTTGTTTGTCCTACTTTAGATGTCAATGGTCTAACATTAGACGCTGTCTAACATTAGTTAATGTATCTTTTTTTTTTTGTTCAACAGAAAAAGGAAATGCATAATGGATTAGATCTAGAGGTCAGCGGACATTGGATTTTTTTGATCACTTGTTTTAGACTGTGGGTACATTCAAACTACTGTATGCTATTCGACCTGTGCCCAGGCACGTTTCCTGGTTCGTTTAAGAAGTGCGAGTGCTCCAAATCGGGCCTAGGCGCGGTTCAGTTGGCTGGCCTTGGCCCAGTTGGAAGAGGTGTGCCAGAGCGTGGTTCGGTTGGGCTTTGACACGATACGCTTGTAGTGTGAGTGCAAAGCACGAAACTGAAGACACAACGTCACTTTTATAAGTTTTCACATGGATTCATTAATCATACTTACTTCTGAACGCAAACTGTTGTAGTTTATTAAAGACACAAACCCCTTTCTGCATGTCAGCTGCACCTTCAGCAAACCTCCTAATACCTGCAGCACGATGCCTTTTAAGATCATTTATAAGCGTGAAAAGTTGTGGATCTGTTCGACAAAATATCTGACTGCGTGTCACTGCATCTCAAACGACTTAAAGGATATAACTAAAGCAATTGTTTACTGTGCTGAGCGGGAGCACTTCTCTTCTGTTCAACTGAACAGTTGCATGATCGATGATGTACGTGTGCTCAGGTTTGGATGGTAAAGACGCAGTGTAAGTGCGAGCCGTCAGGGGAAATGGAGAGGGGACAACCGCGCCTCAGCATGGTTCAAGGTAACCGTGCCTAGTGAGAGTACACCCTGTATTGCCGATAACTGACTCATTAACACAGTTTTTCAAATGATTACTGGATAAACAAATAATTTTAAAAGCATAATACAAAAATAAATTATTCTAAATTAAGGTAAATTTAAAGACATGCATTTAAAAGAATTGCAAAACTTAAAAAATATTTAGTTATTATTATTATTATTATTATTATTATATTTCTGAACATCAACAGTTAAAAACAATTTTAAATAAAACAAAAATGTATGTATAGAATAAAACTAATTTTAAAATAATGATTAAAAACGATGCAGAAAAACTACCGGCATGGATGTTTGCAGATTAATTTAATTAATTAATTAATTAAGTTCTGATTAATTGGCAAAACTAATAAATTGCTTGACTTCTATTTAAAAAAAAGCACAGTTACTATCAAAGTTCTCCAGTTGATTGATTACATTTGGAATTGCAAAGATTTATTTTGCATTACAAGTTTTCTAAAATGCATTGTTATATGTGTGTGTCATATTTGTCGTGCAATGGCAATGTTTAGTTAAATATGAGCTAATTTGTGTATATTTCAGACAAAATAATCTGAGTACTGGATTCGAGTTCTATACCATGTCAGGTTCATAATTCTTGCTTTGGTTTGTTTGTTAACATATTAAAGGCAAACACTGTAAACAGCTAGAAATGTATGTCTTTTCGCCAGTTTTGTAGAATGCATATACAATTGGCAAGTTATGGATGATCAAATCTCTTTGCAAAAACTGTCCGAATGTAGATATGAATAAAACTATTGATGGAGTGGATATTTATGGCTCAGTGCAATCCTTTGATGAAAACCTTTAACAAATATTAATATAAATAATTAATAATAATAATTTAATTAATAAATTAATTGAAAGTGTGAAAGAAATTAACAAAATCTTTCATTACAAAAATTAAAGAAGAAAAAACAAAATGGTTTTGCAAAGTGGTTCGCCTTATAGATGGATTTTGAATTTGATGTAGGCGCAAAGTATGGACTCACCTCAGGCAATGGGCCTTTGCTGTCGTCCCAGGTCAGCAGTTTGATGTAGGCAGTGTTTAGCACCAGTGAGGGCCCTGGTAAGGGTCTGCCACTCTGCCCAGAGTCACTGCTCTTCTCTGCAGGTGGCATGATTTGGGTGGCCTCCTCTATTGAAGATTTGATCCACTCTGTTGTGTGCTCCAAAGCATCTGGAGAAATTAACAAAAAGTTAAAGGTAAGGGTTAAAAATCGCTTTAAAAGAACCCTTCAAAGTGGCCGGCACTTTAGTTTTAAATCACAATGTGTATATCGTTTTTCAATATGGTGACCATGATTGTTTTCACTCTGAAGTGACCTTGCAAGGTGATATCCCATTTGCAACCACTGTACAGTATGTTCCTGTACACATACATTCCTGTAGCAAACTATTTTGGTTGTCAAGTAATCACACATGCAACCCTTTTTGTTGTTTACATGGTTTCAATTTTAAATCTTGTTGAGAAGATTTGAGACTTTATTTTTGTTGTCGCATTTTTAGCCAAGAACAGTGTAATGTAAATAAATGATCTCATATTTTCAATGACTTTTCTTTGTGAATGTTTTTGTGGACTTACTCGGAGTTCTTTCCAGAATGCTCTGGAATTTGGCTCTCTCGTATTCCACCGACTGTCTCTGAAGCTCCGGCCTGAAGCTCTGGATGGTAAAATTCACCATATCCATTTTCATCAGGTCCAGCACTCGGAAGATCTCCCTGTTACCACACACGTCACCAATTATAGCTCAACTGTTTTGGCTCAGAAGAATGTTTCTGTTGGTTTAACTCTACTACTCCATTTTTAACAACTCTACTTTTTTAGAGATGTACACTGAAAAAATAGTCATTGGGTTTACAAAATTTTGGTAAGGGATTGGTTGCAAAATTGATTTGGTCTGAATTCAAGCAAACAAATTAAGTTGAACACTACTCAATTTAATTGTTTGTTTAAATTCAACCCATATCAGTGCTTTCCACAGGTGTGAGATTGAAACACACCTTTTACCCACAGCACATAAAAAGTTAACTATATGCTACAAACAAAACATAATTGTATTTTAACACTATTTTTATTATTACCTATTTAAACATTTTCTTTTCAATGGGTTAAAGTTAAAAAAGACTATTGAAATAATTAATAAATAAATCCTCTCTTTTATACTATGCAGGAGCCATGTGCACCCACTGACAGGTCAAATCTGCTTCTCTCATTCAAGTTCAAGTTGCTTTATTGGCATGACATTTTGTGCAGTATTGCCAAAGCATTTTAGATACATAAAATATGTAATATATTACTATCATCAAATTAATGAAATATACACACACATATATATATATATATATATATATATATATATATATATATATATATATATATATATATATATATATATATATATATATATATATATATATATATATATAGTTGAATCAGAATTATTAGCCCCCCTAAATTATTAGACTGCTTGTTTATTTTTTCTCCAATTTCTGTTTAACGGAGAGAAGATTTTTTTCAGCACATTTCTAAACATAATCATTTTAATAACTCATTTCTAATAACTGATTTATTTTATCTTTACCATGATGACGGTAAATAATATTTGACTAGATATTTTTCAAGACACTTTTATAAAGCTTAAAGTGACATTTAAAGGCTTAACTAGGTTAATTAAGATAAATAGGCAGGTTAGGGGAATTAGGTAAGTTATTGTTTAACAGTGGTTTGTTCTGTAGATTATCGAGAAAAAATATAGCTTAAAGGGGCTAATAAGTTTGTCCCTAAAATGGTTCATAAAAAATTCTAAACTGCTTTTATTTTAGCCGAAATATAACAAATAAGACTTTCTTGAGAAGAAAAAATATTATCAGACATACTGTGAAAATGTCCTTGCTCTGTTAAACATCATTTGGAAAATATTTAAAAAAAGAAAAAAAAATTGAAGGGGGCTAATAATTCTGACTTCAACTGTATATATATATATATATATATATATATATATATATATATATATATATATATATATATATATATATATATATATATATATATATATATATATATATATATATATAAATAAATAAAATGTGTTGATAACTTAAATAAGACAAATGAGTTAATTACTCATTTTTAATGGTGTACAAATATTCTGCAGCCACTCTGGATGTAAGTTCGTCCTCTATTTAGTATTTGGTAAAGTTTTTCTGAGTCGAATAGATTAAAGAATTAATTGTTTAATTTATGTGCGCATAAAATTAAAGACAGCTTAGAAAACACAAGCAAAACCAAATGCCGGACTTTTATGTATATTTAGAAACCCTGGGTCAAGACCCCCTACTGACAGATCTCACGCACACAGAACGAGTAGTGTAGTGTGAAACAGGTAAAGGAGAGAAGATTTTCCACTACCTAATCAATCACGGATGTTTGTTTATATTGTGTGGATACAACAAGCATACAAGGATGATAGTAGTAAAATATTGTGTCTCTAAATATACTTGGGCGGCCTGCCTAATTAAAGTCGATGTGTGGGATGGACTGCATATAAATTGTTTGCAACCCATATAAAAGTCTGCATTCAGTGCCCATAACACTTACACACGAACACCTAACATAATTACATACATATACATTTAATCTTAGTTTGTGCTTTTGTTTTGTACTTTGTTTTTTTTTCCATGTTGTTAAATCTGTTTGGTGTACTTTGTTAAAAAGCAATACTCTACTATTGGTTATCACACCAACCATTAGCCTCAAAACTGAAATGTGGCTCATTCTACAAGGAATAACATACTTGAACAGTGTCACGCAGTCGCCTGAGTTTTCTTTCAGCTTCTTGATTTCATCGTCTCGGACCGGCGCGCAGAACTTGCCCATGGTGTTGATGATGTAAGAAACAAGGCCCTGGATATCAACCGCATTGTTGTCGGCCTGTTGGCGGATCAGATCCATGTCCAGAACCTCCATGATCTGAGTGCGTAGACGATTTGCCCCGGGATTCAGGAAAGACAGCAGAGTCTGATGGTAACAAGAGGATTAGTGTTATTTGTTGTCAAAATTCAAAGTATGGGTCACCATACTAAGCCACATCCCGACTTCCACTTTCACACTGAATGTTTCTTGCTATTGTATTAGAGTAAATGTGGAACTTACATCTCTGATCTCTTCCAGAAGCTTAATGGCATAGTCATACTCAGGAGGGTCATCGTTCAGCTCCGATTCAAGACAATCCCAGAAGGCCTTGTGCACCATATCTTTGACTCGCTTCTCCAGGCTTGGGGAATAAACAAGGGTTTGGAATTCATTGTTTTATTTGTATTATTTATACATTTTTTTATTCTGGCCGAAACAAAACAAATAAGACTTTCTCTACAAGAATAAATATTTTAGGAAATAATGTGAAATTTTTTTTTGCTCTCTTAAACATCATTTGGGAAATATTTGAAAAAGAAAATAAAACTCACAGGAGACAAATAATTGTAATTGTATATTGTTGACCTTTAGAAATTTTATTAGCATATTCATAATTAAATTTGTGTACGTTAATTTTTTTAATCACAGCATAAACAGGTTATAAATGGCTGCCAAAAGATTTGGAGTATAAAGATGGTAATTCTGAAAGAGTTTTGTACCTGTTTTGAGGTAGATCTGGAGGCTCCAGGTGGAAGTTTCGGTTGACTACGATCTCATGAGCCAGACTCAAATTAGAAAGGTCCCGGGCCGAGGCCATAACCTCATCAAGTGTTAGGATTTTTGGTGGGCTGCCTAAAGACAGGGTGGTGGATAGAATAAATAATGACCTAAAACTAAACTCTTAAAATCAACATTAATAAATAAGGTCACATTTTACAATAATGTTTCATTAGATAATGTACTTACAACCACAAAGTATGAACGATACTTGTACAGCATTTAATAATCATAGTTCAACATTTACTAATGCATTATTAAAATACGAATTTATGCTTGTAAACGTTAGCTAATGCACTATGAGTGAACATGAACTAACACTGTATTTTCATTAACTAATGGTAACCAAAATTAACAATATCCTGCACAACATTATTCAGTCTCATGTAAAAGTACTTGTATAGCCTGTCTTATGTGTAAAGTTTAAGAATTTTATTTTGTAGTATATGTTACTTATGCATAGGTTTTTAAAATAGGTCTCATGTCCAGTGTTGTGTAGGTATTTATGATTGTAGCACCGTTGTCCTGTGAGAACCGACATTTCGTTCCTTTGTATGTCCACACATGTAGCGGAATCGACTCAACTTGAAATAAAAAATACTGTAATAAATGTATTGTTTATTGTTTGTTTATGTTAGTAAATGCATTAACTAACATTAACAAATACAACCTTATAGTAAAATGTCTCCATAAATAAGTTAATAAAATCATATTTTGATTTTAAAAAAGTGAACCATTCATTTCAGCTGCCTAATTTTCAAACCATTTTTGAAAAATTTACTATACAAGGAAAATAATTAACTAATAAAAATAAAGGAAAAAACAAAGTTACTAAAGTTTTGCTAAACTTAAAATAATAATAATAATAATAATAATAATAATAATAATAATAATAATAATAAAACTACAATAATCACTCATTGATGCTTAAATAATTTAATAACCATAATAACCAATAAAAAAAAAATTTAACAGCATACAAACAAATATTAGGTCAGTCATCATGTTAAATAAAACTATTGTTTTGTGAACCGAAAAGCTAAAAAAGTTAGAAAGTTAAAGACATATAAGAATAATTGGTAACACTTTAGTTTAGGTCACAATTCACAGTATAAATAAACCATCAACTAACACTTCTAGCTTCATAAACAACAAATGAACTCTTTCTTATTAGTTAGTAAGGTAGAAGTTGGATTTAGGTTTTGGGTAGGATTAGGGATGCAGAATAAGATCAATCTTTAACTATATATAATCTATAAACTATAAATAATCAGTTAAGTGCCAATAGTTAATTGCATGAATTTTGACCTAAACTAAAGTGTTACCAAATACTTCCACTGAAAAAAAATTTTTTAATGCACTATAAGATACCTTGAACTAACACCGTATTTTCATTAACTAACATGAACAAATGCTGTAACTGATGTAACTGTTTATTGTTTGTTCATGTATCCAGTAACTAACATTAACTTATACAACCTTAGAGTAAAGTGTTGCCATATATAAGTTAATAAAATCATATTTTGATAAAAAAAAGTAAACCATTCATTTCAGCTGCCTAATTTTTAAACAATTTCTGAAATAATTACTATGAAGAAGAAAAAAACAAGGTTAGTAAAGTTTTGCTAAATTTAAAATAATAACAATAATATCAGTAAAACTACAATAGATGCTAAAATAATTTAATAACCAGAATAAAAATATATATATATATATTTTTTTATAGCATACAAACAAATATTTAGGTCAGTTTTATACCTTTAAATAAAACTATTGTTTTGTTAACCGAAAAGCTGAAAAAAAAGTTAAAGATATATAAAATTTGTTGTTAACACTTTAGTTTAGGTCACAATTCACACTATTAACAAACCATTAACTAAAACTCCCAGCTTAATAAATGACTAGCTGTTTGTTATTAGTAGGTAAAGTAGCAATTGGGTTTAGGTTTAGGGTAGGATTAGGGATGCAGAACAAGATCATTCTTTATAACTACTACTGAACAGTTAATACCCAGGGATGGGCAGTATTTATGATACATGTATTTCAAATGCGTATTTTAAATACAAAATAGTATTTTGTAATTTGTATTTGATGGATATTAAAATACTTTAGTGTCTTGTTTTTTTGTATTTTTCAAATACCGTAAAAGACTTTGTGAGAAGTCCACATGATGACATCACATAAATGTGGCCTCTGATTGGTGCTTTCTCAGTTATTTGCCAAGGCTTGGATCAGACTAGATCCTAAATTGATTAATATTGAATAAGTTTATCAATGCTTGAAGTATGGATGGAAATTAAGCATCACATAAAAAGAAAGTAACAATCAAATAGCAGGGGTAAATTCAGGAGCAGCTTAAAATCAGACAGGAAAATAAGACAAACAACAAAAAAGTCCTACAGTGGCAATACCTATAATAAATTGTCTGTTTCAAATGCCAGTAGCTGATCTGCAGGTGCTCCCTATAGTTAATTACTATTACTATTACTATTACTATTACTATTACTATTACTATTACTATTACTATTGCTATTACTATTACTATTACTATTACTATTACTATTACTACTATATTAACTTTGGCATAGTTTTTCAGCATAATATCATTATGACAAAAATATTAAATAATATTCCAGTCTGCTGGTTAAAAACATCCTTTTTTATTCCTAAAAAATCCTTTATTATTTTGTGATTTTGTGTTTTATATTGTGTTTTGAAGAGTACAACTGCAAAAAGCACGATTTATGGAAATGACTAAAACTGGAAATCTTTAGTTTTCAGAAATTGTGATTTTTCATTGAGTATAAAAGATTTTAATTGCAAAAATGTTGAAAAATAAGACTTAAGAGAAGGTGGCAATTTTCACAATCAAGACATATATTACTATATTCCAACTCATTATCTACATTAAATGGTTTTACAGTGGTTAAATAAATCATATTTGAGACAGGGATTTCTGTATGAAATTTGTACCAAATCTATACTAAAATCAAAGAGAAAAACAAGTTTTATGAGTAAAAATTTTTTTTTTATTCATAAAATAATTCATAAAAACCTGCTGCAGTAAGATTCTTTTTTATGAATACCTCCTCATGTAAAGTAGAGGTAAATGAGGTGCAGAGAAGTTGACTCAGAGAAAGGCTGTTGTTATTAATCATTGTTTACTTCACTAAATCAGTTTAATGGTGAAGGGATTGATCCAATAGGCCTATTAATAGAAGGTTTGCAAAACAAAAATGCCATGCTCACTGGTAAAAGTATTTTCAAGATACAAAATACAATATTTTATTATGATACATTTGCAGCTGCTGTATTTTGTCATTTATTTTGATACTCTTAAAATTTAGGTATTTTTCCCCAAAATACATTTCAATGTATTTTTGCCCATCACTGTTAATAACTTAATAATAGGTAGGTAATAAGCCAGTAGTTAATAGCATGAATAGTGACTTAAACTAAAGTGTTACCAAATAGTTACACTGAAAAAAATTATTCATTGGATTCACTATTTTTTAAGGTAAGTGGTTGCAAACTATTTATATGGGCTGAATTCAAACAAACAAATTTAATTGTAATGTTCAACTTAATTTGTTGGTTTATGGGCCATATAAACTGTTTGCAACCATTTACCTTAAAAAATTAAAATCCAATTTATTTAATATTTAATTTAATTACTAAATCACTAAAACTGAACAGTTTTAACAATAAAACAATTAAATAAATAAATAAAATATAAAGTTAAAATATTTAAAAACCTACAAGACGGAGAGTTGTGTTTGCTGGAGGAATCGCTGGTAAAGCTCTGCCGAGAGCAGTCGACATCACTGGAAGAGGTCAAACTGTCGCAGCGTTCAGATGACTCCGTGTCGCTGCTCTGGTCCTCGCTAGCCACCGTAGATGAGGTGGAGGTGGGACGCTCATCATTCAGAGGCATCGTGAGCTGCTGCTGTGAATCAAGCACAGAGATATTAAAGAAACTGCTCTGACATTGCAGCGTTGTGCCTAAAGTGAGTTTTACTTAGGACAGGCTTTAATTTGGAACGAAGACAATCACTCACATGACAGTTAGATAAAGTTAAACCTGGCACACTTTCAGTGCTGGAAAATTTCACAAAGGACATAAAGTTTCAGTGGGATAACAATGAAAAGGGACTTGCAAACACTAACATAAAAAGGCTCAGTGATATTCAAGCGACGCACAAAGAGACATTGTGTTTTAAAAGGGCATCAGACGTTGACTGGTGCTCGTCTCTTGGGTAACAGATAACATATGATCTTTCAAAGCTCTCTCGTTACTCTTTACAGGCTCCACAAAACACCTGCTTCCTCAAGTAGACCAGTAACTGCTGATCTTTCAGTAAAAGTTGAGTCTGCATCAGAGAATCAACAATGACCTTTAATTCATCAAATGCATTTAGATACCAAATTACTCTTAACAACCTCCCGTATTCCTGTAATCTGTTTATTACGTGTATTTTTTATGCTCACTGTATGCTGATTGTCTACATCATATTTTTGTATTCATAATTTCAAAATAAAATAAACATTTTAATTAAAAAGATACTAAATAGCTGATTTATGCTCAGACAAAAATGCTTGTTTATTGAACTATCATGTAATTAAAGGTTTATATGTAGGCCCACACAGAATCTGCGCACGCAGATTTTTAGTCCATCATTGATTCTGTTTATTATTAAACAAATCATTCTGTTCATTATAATTCTATTTATTAATTATTATTACTTGTGTATATGTGTGTATTTTTATATTTTTCAGTTGTTTTTTTTCAAAGATTTTATTTTTGCCCTTTTTGCCTTTATTAAGTGGATAGGACAGCATTTCAGACAGGAATTAAAGTGGAAGAAAGAGATAGGGTAGGGATGGGAAATGTCCTTGAGTCGGGATTTGAACTCGGGACACCCTGAATCGCTACTGCAACATGTATCAGCGCGCTAACCACTAGGCTAATGCGCCAACATTTATTCAGTTTTTATAGTAATTTCAGTAATATTATTGACTAATATGAATTTATTTATATATATTAAGGTATATTAATATTTATATATATTAAGGTTTTAGTTATGATACTCCCAAAAATCATTTTAACAAAATTCTGCGCAGAAATAGCAAAAAATGTCTGCAGATTCTGTCTGGCCCTATTTATATGTTACCCAAACATGGATACGCATTATAATATTAATACTTAATTTTCTGTAAGTGATACAGTGAAATAACAGGAAAACGAGGAAACGCATTGGATTTTTATAAATTTTTTTGGAAGGAATAGTTGATTAAAATTATTGTTTCCAGACCTTCGTGTCAATCCAAAGATGAATGACTTGTTTTCTGTGAAGTACAATCTTGTCATTTGATCTCAGTGTATGAGGAAAAAAGTTTCAGAAAGTCTCATTTTGTGTTCCGCTGAAGAAGAAAATGAGGGTTAGAATTTGTTGTTGTTACTCATCTAAAAATAAAAGTAGCACACCTTGTCATGAAATAAATGTGAAATACAATTATCTTATTATTTGATTATGTTTTATTTTAAGTAAACTTCCTACAACCTGAATAAATATTAAATTTGAAAGCTAAATAAATAAAGCATTATGGGAGAATGATATAATGATTTATAAAGATGTTATTATAATTAGGAATGTTCACATTTGTTTTTATTTATCATACATTGCATTTATTTAGATAAATAAAAACAATAATATTTGCTTATGTTAACTGCATGTCTGCCCAGGGGTCAAAGCAGTCATCATCATCACACACACACACACGCAAATCTAAAAGAAGGAAAAAAACATGAAAACACACATATTAAATAGTAAAGTATTTACACTAATGTCAAAATACATGGGTGAAATGATGTTTCTGAATCTCCATTCAGTGTAACATAAATCTTTATGTAAGATTATAACAACATAATTATTCTGATCTGTACTCACACACATATTATTATAAATATTAACAATATTTTATCATATTTTTATCCTTTTGACAAAAATAAAACGTAAAACAGCTGATAAATAAAAAGTATAAAGACTTAAAATGACAATTAAGTAGTATTTTGAGGAAGAACCGTGAAACTGCAAATATATATTTTTAAATATGATAAACATTATATAATAACGTAATATAAAATTATAAACAATATAACAAAATAAATTTTGTTTATAAACTATTTTTTAACCTATGTCTTCAGTTAATACGAATAAAAATTAATGCTTTAATCAAAATAAAAACCTTAAAGTGCAGATATTAGTACACAATTATATGGAAAACAAAATAAAGCTGCATTACACTTTTCTTGTTTTGATTTTGTCTTTGTCCCATACTTCAGTCCCAATGTTTTCAAATCTATAGCACTTAACACAAATTCAAATATATACACTTATATCAGCCACAATAAAAAAATAAAAAACATATTTTCAGTCCCATCCGTTCTCATTACTCCCAAAGAGAGCATCTATTTTAAGCATAGGACAAAACACACACACAGTGCGACCTCCTCATGTAATAATAGCTCACTCCAGTGGTTTGCATGATAAAAACAGACCAAATGCACATCCTAGGCCGGGTTTAAATTAGCAGGGACCGATGACAGCAACCCTGGCACCGGCTACAGCTCGTGCAGCTCGGGGCCCTAAAAGGAGGTGCAGTAACAGCACACACACACATACACACACACACGCACACACACACACACACGCTCAGCTGCTCTGCACACGTGACCTTATCTCCAGCACACAAACAAGGACAAAACATAAGCAAACTGTCAAAGCAGAAGAGCAGCCGAACTAGACTTTCCAGATCCAGCAAATCCCAGCGAGTTTAAAATCCAGCAACGTGGAATTAGTAAACAATCACTTGAAGGGTCGTTTGTGAAATATAAACATAAATAAATTAGCATTTTAATAAAGCGAATGATGCGAGAACGAGCTTAGTTTTGCTTGGTTATTTTGCGTTAGCAATTCATTTAATAATGTAAACATAACCATTGTCCAGCTGCCAAGTAATAGCACATACATACACTCTAACGTTAGGTAAATAAAACCATGTAACATTTACCTGAGTCAAGTCCCCGAGAGTGGAGACTTGGCAAACAACAGTAATCAGGCGGGTTTTTATCGATTTATGGATGAAATATATCGATACTCCTTCTGTACTACACGGGGACTTTAAAGGGCTCTTTAAAATATCACTTGGCTTGTACAGTTTTGTGAAACGGGGAAATCTATTATGTCTCAAGCAATTGGGGGCTTTATGTTTTGCGTTTGATTGAAATAATAAGGCTAATAAGATGAATTAATGCACATCTATTGAAAGTTTAGTGTAATTACAATATTTAAGTAAAATATTGTTGTATTTCTAATGAAAAAAGTTTATTATTGATAAAAAAAAGGCTTTACTTGACTGACGTGTACCCCTTGGTAGCATAATGGTACAATCCAGCTCGCATGAGCTTCTTTGTTTACGGATGTGACGTGAAAGTACATTAAAACGCTTTGTGCTCGAAGCGAGCCACTATTCAAAGTAATAAAACATCAAATATATTAAATAACTGTGCAATAAAACACATGCTTGTTTTATAAGACTGTTATGATTCTTTTTTGATATCATAAAGCGAGTTCAATCTTTCGCTTGATCCCTCCCACTGAGGTTTATGATGGTTTGTTTTTATTCAAACGACTCAAAATCACTTCCTGAACCTCAAGCTTGATTCTCAGATTACAGAAAGCATCGACAGCATCACATTATAATGCAAATTCCGTTGAGCTATCTTTATTAATGTTTTACGTAAACGATGTTTACTAGAGCGCCGAGAGCAGACTGTACCCAAACAGAACCATAGTAACTAAACAAACAGACATTAACCCTTCGGTGACTGGAGAATATATTCAGGTTTATTTGAAAATGCGTAAGTCTTCGACAATGTTTAAATATAAAGAGTGGAAATAAGTTTCACCCATTACAAAAAATAAATAACACACAGATTTGTTAATAAAAATGCTTTTAATCACAGTCGAAACACAGTAAAAAATGTTAAAAAAGGTCAGTAAAAAATAAATAAAACAAAGGTGTGTCCATTCAACGCTACATAGAAAACTATTAAGTAATAAATTATGACAAACTCATATACACATGTGCATATGCCCCCCACACACATATACACAATATTATTAGCACCATTTATAATATTTTATAAAAAAAAAAAAGTTTTTTCCATTATATATTTGCGGATTCCATTATTCTCGAGCAGAATTCACAGCCTTCACCGTTCTGTTGTTTATGAAGTCAGTTTTCCGGTAACCAGCCTGCCACAGAAAAAAAAAAAAACAGACAACATGGGTAAATATGCTCGAGATGGAAGCAAAATCTGAAACAATAGCATCTGATTTCAGTGTTCAACCAGGACTGGGCTACTAAATATGACTTTAAAAGAAGACAAAATGTACTCCTATGGAATAATTAAGATTTATCTGATTGTGGGATATATAATTGTCCGTTAAACTGTGTGATATTTTATTTATTTTGTTCATTAATTTTTAGATATGGAAATGTAAGGTAAAGAACTATAAATGTGAAACTCAAGTTATGTGTTGACATGTTAAGTAAGTACCAAATTAAATTAAAATTGATGTGTTACTAACTGACAGGTAACTTTTTTTAAATTAACAGCTTCAATTCCAGAGTTATCCAATATGGTTTTGTGTGATTATAAAAAGACTGTTAAATTTATTTAAATGTGTATATTGAATAAAAAGCTCTGTGGTTTAATGCTTAAAAGTGAATGTGAAGGGAAAAACATAAAGGCAAAGGAAAGTGAAGGGGAAAATATATATATAAATGCATTTTTCAGATTGTACTTTTAGTCAAAGCTTTTATCAAAAATAATAAAGACATAAATCTTAGTTTTTATTGTGTTTAAATGTTTTTTTTTATTTTTATTATTGATAGTATTCACATCTTTCTGCCTTTTTTCCTTCATATTACTGACTATTACTCTTATTGTTAGTGTTTTCCCACTTTTATAGATGGTGAGAGTAAGGGAGTGAGGCATAAATGATCAGAACAAAGGGGAGCAGAGTAATGAGGTCAGACGATGATGTGAATTGACACAAATCTGCATCAATGCATAACTGTAAAAAATCAGTGTTATCAGGCATATAAATGAACAACTGTGTTCTGTTCTACAAATACGGTCATGAATTCACCAAATGAACTAAATAAAATAAATGTGAATTCAATTGAAATAAAATACATCACTTTTTATTGCAAACAAATAACAACATCACTAGTTTAACTAAATTGGACTTATTAATATTCTGTGCTTATTTGTTATTTGCTTATGATGCTTTGTTGCGAATAGTTATAGGTAAAGCAAAGCTTTTGTAAAGATGAAATGATTCACTCTTTCGAATAGTTCAAATCACCACATGATAGTGTCGCCTGCTGGTCAAAACAGTGTAAATGCAACAAAAAAGCGTTCAATATGACAGGCTTTTTCAAACACTGCACATTTTTTGTTGAAGTATATTATATCAGATGTACTTTGCTTATGATCTAATGTCATTAAATATTAAGTGACTGAATAATAAAATATGTTTTAATATTTTTAACTTTATTGTTCCACTGTGGGCTCTGCTAAACATGGCAACAAGAAACTATTAACTAATATTATTCCCTTTCGTTTTAAAAAATGTCTCACTGAAACATCTATAAAGTTGTTATATATATATACATAAAATTATAAAACCTGTTCAGAGATTTACCACTAAGGAATGAATACCTACCAAAAAAACATTGAATTTTCTAAATGTTTTGAATCCCCGTTTACTGAAATAAAGTGACTTTGCAAATTCGATATGTAAGATTCGCAAAGGATTTGTTGCTTCATGAAGCAGCGTATTGAAGCAGCCATAACTAGCTTTGAAGAAAGTCCATATGTTTGTATATTTGAGAATAACCCTATATTATTTTATAGAACCAATCATAATGCATGATTAAAAGGACAATAATTATAGTAATTAACTAATTACTCAATACAGAGCATGAACCACATCAAAAACTCAAAACAAGTCTTACTGCAGCAATGTGATTGGCCACAGATATGCGTGTAATACTAATGTCACATTGAAATGCAAAGTGTGTGATGGATAAAATAAAAAAACAAAAATCCTCTCACTCAGTTTTCAGTATTATTTTTGGCACTTGGAAATGAAAAATGACAGAAAATCAACATATATTTAAACCGCAGTAGGCATTTGTGGAAAAAGGGGAATATTATTCAAACATGTAGTAATCTCACCTTCTTAAAACTGCTATGAAGTTCTGAATGCCTCCACAGGGTATGAAGTAAAACACAAGCTGCTTGGCCAGCCCGTGTGGGTCCAAACCTACATTTTATCAAACACAATAAATAACACAAATGAACATAAATGACTGTTATTGTGAGGATTATTATACAGTTGAAGTCAGAATTTTAGCCCCCTTTAATTTTTTTTCTTATTTAAATATTTCCCAATTTATGTTTAACAGGGCAAAGAAATTTTCACAGTATGTCTGATTATATTTTTTCTTCTGGAGAAAGTTTTATTTGTTTTATTTTGAACACCATTTTAAGGTCAAAATTATTAGCCCCTTTAATCTATATATTTTTTTGATTGTCTACAGAACAAACCATCGGTATACAATAACTTGCCTAATTACCCTAACCTGCCTTGTTAACCCAATTAACCTAATTAAGCCTTTAAATGTCACTTTAGGCTGTATAGAAGTGTCTTGAAAAATATCTAGTCAAATATTTTTTACTGTTATCATGGCAAAGATAAAATAAATCAGTTATTAGAAATTAGTTATTAAAACTATTATATTTAGAAATGTGATGAGAAAACCTTCTCTCTTGTTAAACAGAAATTGGGGGAAAAAATAAACAGGGGGGCTAATAATTCGGAATTCTACTGAATATCATATGGCTAAAATGGACAGTTCATCCAAAAATGAAAATTTTGTTATCATTGTCTTTCTCTCCGGAGTGAGTTTCTTTCTTATGTTAATACACAAAGGAAGATATTTTAAAGAATGTTGGGGAAAACACAGCTGACTTCCAGAGTATGTTCCTACTATGGATGTAAATGGCTGCTTATTCTCAACATTTTTCAGAAAATTTCATTGTGTGTTAAACACAAGAAAGAAATTCCTAAAAGTTTAGTACGACCTGAGTGTGAGTTAATGATGACAGAATTAATTTCTTTGTGTGAACAATCACTTTAAGAGTCTTCTTTTTATACCCATTGTCTTTGGAGCTGATGCTGATGATTTTGGGCAACGCTCCTTGGTTTATGATGGCACAGGTGTTTGATGCAGATGCTTGGCTCAGATTGATAAGTATGTGGCAGATGGTGACGGTGATCTCTATGGGCTGCTCCACATTTCGGTCAGAGTTTGGCAGGATGGCGACCAGCTCCGGTAACACCTGTTTAACTGTAGAAATTTTTTAATTTTATTTTTATACTGACAGTGTCATGGGCTGTTACTGATAGTATGTTGGTGGCTCACCAATATCTGCGTGCAGTTCTCGATAGCGAGAGATGTTCTTAAGCAGTGACACAGATATTCGGAGCTCTTCCTTCTCTGCTTCTTGAAGCAACTTCTTCACCTGAGACAGGCCTCCCTCTTTTTGCACAATAAAGTGTGCGATGGCCTGGGATATCTAATGGGAATGAAAAAACGTTTTTTTTTTTTTTTTAAAGCAGCAATCTGTTTCATCCATATAAATTGGCAGATTTTTAAAATATATTTCAGTATTTATTATAAATCTGTGCACATTGTTATTTTTACTCTTTAATCATCAATATTTTACATCCTTAGCCAAGCCTAAAAATTGGCCTATAGCATGCTAAAAACAGGCTAAATCTTGCTATCTGCATGGTTTAACCATGCTGACGACATACTAGAAGCACACTAGCTGTATTAACGTTAAAAAACAATGTTAATTCATGCTAGCAAATCCTTACGAAAATTAACCATAGTTATTTTTAGCACAATTAAAATTTGTATAACCACAATTGTAATACAGTGGTAACTGAAGAAGAACCATGATGAACCATGATTAAATGACCACAGTTTTCAGGTTTTGTTGGTAAATAAATGATGGCTAATTTTGTTAGTAATTTAGAAAGGTTGTAAAACAGACCTAATGAAGACCTTTTAATCGTCACATTTTAGACATATGTGTACTATTTGGGTAATGCTAATAAATGCTAAACTGCTTGCTAATTAATGCTAGAAACATGCTTTAACTAAAAAAAATGAACCTATAATCTCAGAAATTTAATCTCAGAAAAGTGAACACTAAGTAGACTAAATGATGACCAATTTAATCTTTAGGTCATTTATCCCTTTAATAACAATCATTTCCACGTCATACCTCTCCAGAACAGGCTGTGAGGTTCTGCAGAGTGCCAATGGATGCCTGTTTGGTGTGTTGGTTTGTGCTGACGGCGATGAGCGACAGATACATGCGTACAGTGATGGCGCTCCAGAGCCACTCCACACCATGAGGACTGCCGTTCTCCTCCAGTGCAGGATAATCTTCATCCGCTTCCAGATTCTGAGGTGACAGACAAACACAATTTGTGTTTGGCACCATTACATTTGCATTAAGGATGGTCAGGCAAAACACTCAACGCAAAGATGTCTAGTAATTATCAACGATGGCATTCAATCATCACTTGTTTGAGTTTAAAAGATGTTTTGAAAGATGTAATACTGACCTCTGCAGAGTTTTTAGGAGTCTTGATAATGAAACAGCCCGGGTTGCTGGTTTCAGTGTGAGTTTGTTTGGGCTTTTGAGCTACAGGTGAATCCACACGAGGCACTTCGCAATCAAATCGATACGAGAGGTTGTGCAGGATGCAGACACAGTTCTCTGTGGCCTGGAAAATGAACAGTTTAATAATGATATGTTCACCACACAAAGTTTGAATAATAATTTAAGATCCAATCGATCGTATAATATTAAACATATCTGAAATAATTACAGACAAAATAGCTAAAAATATATTATTACTATTATCTTTTAATTATTATTTTTAAAAATAATTATTTTCAAAATATACAATCATCTTTTTTCTTTCAGCTTATTACGTCAAGCCATGTCATAGCTTAGTTTCAATAAATGCTTTTTTAAGGAAGTTTTGTTTTCTGAAAAGTTTCTATAAAAAGTTGTCATATTACATATATTATCTTTTATCTTATCTCAAGTTGTACCTATAAATCTGGTTTCTTAAAATATTAGCCACAAATAAAAGAGTGTTTATAGTGATGTGGGTTTAATGTGAGTAGCTCTTTACCTTATCATCAGGTTTGTAGTCTGCAATAGTGCCACGGATGTAATAGATGACACACTCAATGAGACCCTCACAGTCCCGCATTACTTTACGCCCATCTGGACCAGCTGAACTCAGATTTCTTTAAAAAAAATAAATAAATAATAATAATAACTAAAAATAATAATAGTATTGTCAGTAATATTATTTATCACATTGTTTAGTTATATGCAATTATATTTAGTTATATGCAAATTATTTCATTTAAATACAATATAAAATGTCAATATGAGTAAAACAGACTTTTTTTTTTACTTCAATTTAAATGTCATTTATTTCAGTGATTTTAAAGCTGAATTTGTTAAGCATCAATACATGTTTTTAATGTCACATGATCCTTCAGCAATTATCCCAAAATCCTGATTTAATGCTCAAAAAATTGTTGAAAAGTTATTAATGTTATTGGTGGAAAACATGACATTGGTTTACAAGAACAGCTTGTAACATTTCATATTTTTTGATCACTTTAATGCATCCTTATTCAATAAAAGTATTTATTTATTTATTTATTTATTTATTTATTTATTATTTTTTTATTATTATTCCCTAATTTAAAACCTAAACTATTAAAACAAAAGAAAAATACTCCTATTATTATTAATAAAACATTTACATTTTCAACTTAATTGACTTAGTTATTGACATCTATAAGAACAAAGACAATAGGAGATTTGTTTCAAAATTGTTTTCTTTCATCCAATCCACCAAGCAACATTCAACAAATGACATCAGGCTAAATGGGAGAGAGATCCAACCTAGTTATCTCAGAGGAAGATTGGTTGAATATCTGCTCAGTACAGGTCACCTCTTCCAACTCTGGTATGCGGCAAGATTTTTGCTGGAGGATTCTTACCGGATATTTTATAACCCACAAGTTAACATGCATGCAAACACGAGAGAAGGATAGGGTGCTGGAGGAAATGTGGGGAACACTTTTTTTTTACCTGTGAAATATTGTAGCCAACTTAATGGTAAAAGACAAGTATTTATTAAAAATACTTCTAGCAACCTGTAAGAAAACTGTAACTCGAAAGTGGCTACAACTCGAACCCCTTACAAAATTTGAATGGTTGGATATTCTATCTAACGTTCAAAATATAGAGAGGACGACTTTTAAAACTACAACTGGACAAATACCTGCAATATTAGGATAAACTGATAGTACTTTTGTCTTTACGCAATGTAAACTGATCTTTATTTGTATTTGTTAATGTGATCTGTAAGGAAATATGTGACCAGTCAACTGTTCATTTAAGTTCAAGTGTGTTATTATATTATTATTATTATTATTATTATTATTATTATTATTATTATTATTATTTGTATTATTATTATTATTATTATTATTATTATTATTATTATTTGTATTGGTATTTTTCCCTTTTGTTAAATAAAAAATTTAAATGAGTATATAAAAAAAATATTAGAGAAGCTTCACAAAAAAGTGTATGCTTTCAGTGACACATACACTTCATATACAGAATCAGGAATTAATAATATATTACTCAAGCAGTTGTAGCTCAACCTTTTCTCTGGGACTTCCCCATGTATGCACAACAATCTGGTTGGCCAAAATAAACCTGTTTTATTTTATTTGCTTTCTTTCATAGCTTCAGAATCAGCTGGCAATACCTCAGGCAGCCGGTGGCATTATAGAAAATGTCAGGGTCGGCGAGAAGCTCCAGTTTAGGGTCTTCGCCTTCGGAAATGCCTGAACATGGCACCAGAACACTGTCTGTGAGAGGTTTGACCGCTTCTCTGGACAGATGCTCTTTCAGGAGATCATGAGAGGACAGATTCCAAAGCAGACCTGCAACATTAGTGGATGAGCACACACTGTAAAAATAATATATGACCAATTCGGTTATGACAACATGTACTTTTTGTTGGGTTTGTAGGTAGTTGTGGCCTAGGGAATTAGACTTTATAATCAAAAGGTTGCAGGTTAAATTCCAAGTCCTGGCCATAGCTGCCCACTGCTCTGGGTTTATGCCTCCTGTGTGTGTATGTGCTCTCACGTCTCACTCAAAGTGTGTGTGTGTGTGCACTTTGATTGGTTAAAAGCAGAGGTCTAATTTCAAGTATAGATAAAATCATACTTGACAAGGCTAACCTCAACCACTTATTTAAATTAGCTAACTATAGGTCAGTTATAAAACTGTTTTAGGTTAGTATAATGCAGTGGTTCTCGATTCCAGTCTTCATTCTAGGACATTTCATGTCTTCCCTAATTAACACACCTGATTCAGATAATCAAGTCGTTAACAGAGTGCTCCATGAACTAATCCTTATGTGTACATGCAAAATGTGCCGGGGGGTTGTTGGCACGAGGACTGGAATTGAGAACCACTGGTTTAATATAATGCAAGTTAAAATAACTTCCCAGCAGGGACCTTTCCTGCACTGTAGGGATACATAATCCAGTGTAAATTCATCATTTGAAAGCTTTCAGATGATTACAATTTTCTTATATTGTTATTTTGGTGCTCAAAAAGGCAAAGCAAATTCAGTATGATACGTTGGAAGTGAATTAAATACAATGAAATGTCTGCTGAAATACTTGTTTACCAGTGAGCTGGCGCCGGGTTTCGATGTCTCGATTGATCTTGAGGAGTCTCAGGATCACTGGAAGCCCCTCACAGTCTTTGACTTCCATTTTGTTCTCATTGTTTTCAAAAACAATATTTCGGAGAGAGCTGACGGCGGCCCACTGGAGCTCCTCGCTGTCATTCTGCATCAGCTTCAGCAGCTTTGGGATGCCTTGAAGATGAAGTATCTGAGAAGGTGGAGGATGATGAAATTAAAAATTTGTCAAAGCTTATGCATTTTTTTTTATTTCTTGATGTTAGTCAGTGATCTTCATGCAACAAAATACTTGTATTTAATTGTTTTTTAATCATTCACTCTTAAAAAGAAAGGTTGCAAAAGAGGGTTTTTGTATTTATGCCACAGAACCAATTTTGTTAACCCTAAACATCTTTTCAGTCAACTGACAAAGATTTAATTACCAGCATTATCCCTGATAATCACTACCAAAATTTCCTCCTTTAAATATTATTTTTTTTACATAATGTCACAGGTGTTTTTAAAAAAACACTCAATCTATTATTTTATTTGTGCTACAACTGCTAAACAGAGATTTTAGATTATTACAATCTTTTTAATAAGTCAATGATCTGAAAAAAAAAAACACTGACACACATTCAAAATTGGCTATATAACACAAAACAAACGCCAACATCCATACCTAAATTAAAAACAAGCAAAAACTTTTCAAAAATAACCACAATGTTCATAAGGATGCACAAGAGTTGATGAATCCTCAATCAAAAAATATTTTCCCTGCTTGTTCAAACTACTCAATTAAAATGATCTGAATCAACCCAATTCTTGAATTTTTTGGAGACAACTAAATTGTTTTATGTTCTGTCCACTTAAATTTGTCAAAACAATTAAATTAACTTATTCGATTTGTGTTGGGAAAACATGAAGGAATTCTATGAAACCCTAAATTTTGTTGAGGAAAAATATTAATTTCTTTAAAAAACTTTTTCATCCCAAAACATTTAAACCATACTGTTGACCTTTCATCCTTGTTTAGCCTCTGTTTATGTGTTCCATCAGGTCAGGTCAAGCTTCTTAGTACTGAACCACTGTTCATATGTAAACATGGTGTGTGTGTGTGTGTGTGTGTGTGTGTGTGTGTGTGTGTGTGTGTGTGTGTGTGTGTGTGTGTGTATACAGTATATATGTATCTGCTAACGGCTGTAATGTCAGCTGTAATGTCTCCCAAAGCATCTGAACATTAATATTATCAGTGTGGATGGTATCTGGATATTATAATCTGCACAATAGTTTATTGGCTGCAGTTCACTTAACAGCCTCCAGTATCGCTCCTTTTTACTCCACAATGCATTCTTTACAGTGGAAAGGGGCTTTCCAGATTATTAAAATGTTTTAAAAAGCTTTTTATGTCCATCGGGGAAACAAAGCTAGTTCTTCTATGGCATGCCTAAAAAACACCCTTATTGAACCTTTATAAAGTCAAATCAACAGCATAAAATAAACGCTGGCGTCTACTGTCATAATTCTAATAACTTACCGCGTAACATACTTAGTAAACATGTAAACCACACTAAATACTTCTCTTTGACTTTCTTCCACGCCCGTTTTCCACTTAATTAAAGCACCACCTCGCTGTGCAGTGCTATGACTCACGGTTTTATTTTGCCCGAGGTGTTTGTTATCACCGCAACCATTCAGACTTTTTGTGTGAGATATATCATCATCTTTGGGTGGATCAGACTATACGAGCATGGGCTATTTGGGAGTTGAGTATCACTTACCTTTCTCTTGGCATCTGGACTGTTGAAGCACTGGTTCTGTATGAAGTTAGCAGCGGCGATTTGTGTTTCCATGTTATTATCTTGTGTCAGCAGATTTACAGCCTCTTTTAGTGTCATCTCTGCACTGAGTTCACCTGGTTTGCCCTTCCTTTAACACAGACATACACTCAAAAAATGAATTTCGCTGCTTGTTCAAACTACTTATTTAAATGAGTTAAAACAACACAATATTGAACACAAATCAACACGTGTTTTTTTTTTTTTTGGCGGGGGGGTCAACTGTTTTATGTTCAATCCACTTAAATTTGTAAAAGAGATTAAGTTAACCTAATAGATTTGTGTTGGGACAATATGAAAGAATTTTGTGTTTTTTTACAGTGTAAGACAGAAAGACTTGTTTCATCTTAAGCAGATACATTTCATTTAAACTAATTACTTATGAATAAATAAATAGTAACAAAAAAATAAATAAAGTAACAAAACACATTATAAAAAAATATTTCAATTAAGCAAAATGGCTTCTAAATGACTCCTATTATTACTTCTAAAAGAACTAATAATAAACCAACATCTGGTATTTTGAAGCATTTTATTAAACCTTTTAACATTATGAGCAAGATAACTGCTATTAAACTATATATGCAAATATTAGACGCAAAAACCTTTAAATGCTGTTTGATATTTCCACTAAAATTTGCCTTTTTCTCTGACTTCTGTGTGTAGACTCAGTAACTTTTACTTTTATAATGATGAACAAGTTATTTAATTCATGTCAATAGGTGAAGCAGTTTTTGTTTATGGCACTGACACATGCTCAAATTCTGCGTCTGGACTGCTTTGCTCATTTTGGCTATGAAGTGCTTGGCCCCTTAATTGCTGCTTGCAGCTATATTTTTCATTGTCTTTAAAGTGAAATAACTGAACATAAACATAGAAGGCAATTTTAGTCATTTTAGGAGAACATTACAGATGGCATTTAGAGGTTTTTGCATCTGAACTCTTCATATATATTATTATAATTTATCATAACTATTAATTATAGCTTATAATAAAAAGTAATTATAAGCTATATGAATTATTACTATTAAAAATATATCATTCTATCATATGAAAGCATTTATACTTTTAAACTTTGTCAGTCCTTGTTCAAAAATAACACCTAATAAGCTAATGCTTTTTATTATTAATAATTCACATATAACGTAATGCATACTTTCATTTATTACAAATTTGTATTGTTTTATTTTATTCATTTAAATGTACAATCTAATTGTTGAGTTACTTACATTTGACATTGTAGTGAAGCATTTCAAACGTTCAGACTTACAATGCTTGTATATAAAGATTTTGTTTCATTTAATGTGTAAATTACACACTTATCTACACTATAAAAAATATACAATCAATCAGTCATGACAACATATGTTTTTAGTTCATTGTAAACCAAGTTCTAACTTAATTTTATAAGTTACGCAAGCCGTTTTAAGTCAGTTTAACATAATAAGTTCAATGGACTCTTAAAATGTAAGGCAAGCAGAATTTGTTACAGTGTATACTTATATGAGAATAACTACTAAATATTTATTTTACACTATAAAAATGTACCATTAAAAAACTAAATGTATGCATCATATCAATGTAGTCATGTCATTGGCCCATGAATGTTTCCTGCTTGTTGTCAAACTATTTCGTAACTGCAAGAGACAATAGTATCTTAATGCTATAACAGCTGTCATAACCTTATTTATCAATATTTGGACATTTTTGGATTCTTGGAAGCTAGGAAAATTAAAAATGTAAAACGGGAAATAGATTTAGGACCATTTTTGTTGTTTACATCCCTCAAAATGATCTATTTAAGTGTGTAAATGTAAACCACTGTCTCACTTTGTTAATGTGGTAACTGCATGTTGCTTGACCTCCAGCTTTTCAATCCTCCCTAAACTTCCTGACTGCTCCTCCATGCTGATAAGTGATCCAGTTTGGGAGGGTCGTCTTCCTGCAACAAACTCCAGGCTCGGCTTCCTCACGCGGCTCTGCCAGGACACGTTCTCTGATTGTTCGAGAGCAACAAAACCCCCCTCTCTCTGCTTACAGAGGGTCTGCTGAAGGGTGTGCTTTTCCGATTCCATCCGGCCCCTCTCTACAGAAGTGCTCGGTAGAAACACATCATCTGTATCATCCGTGTGGGGGTTTTCATACACCGGGCTGCTGGGGATTTGTGTGGCTGCTGACAGGCCTGCAAAGCGTGGATTTCGCAGGACCTCGGAGTGGGCGTAGCGTAAAGGGAGTTTGTTCATTTGGAAGTGGCTGGTTGTAGGGGCCGAAGGGAGAGTCAGAGAGTTAGAGCCCAAGCATAAACCAGCTCTCTTAGGGGTGTAACGAAAGCTTCCATAGCCTCTGTGAAATAGAGGCGGCTCCATGCTTGGCCATTGAGATCGATCAACCATCCGCAGTGACCTTGTGGCTTCATGATTAACGGAGAATGTCCGCTGCAAAGAGTATATGTTAATATCTCAAATTAGTGATATTAAAAAGAAAGATCACTCAAAAATGAAAGTTCTGTCATCATTTGCACCAAAAGTGTGGTCTATTTTCTGCACAAATGAAGATATTTTGAAGTGTGTTGGAAACCCATGGTATGTTCTTCCTGCTATGTATGTCAACAGATACTGGTTTCCAACATTCTTCAAAATTTCTTTTGTTGTGTTCATAAGAAAAAGGAAACCACTTGAGGCTGAGTAAATAATTGGTAGTGCTTTTGGGGGGGGGGGTGAATTATTAATATTTCTGTCCGTTCCTTGCAATAAAAAGCATCTTAAGTCTTTATAAAGGGAATATGGTGCACAAGTACACTCATACTGTTGCTTATTGAGCTTTTTGGGAAATTAGTCAGTGCTAGTAATCTCTAAATCAGTGTTGGGTGTTAACTGATTATCATCTGAATTTTGCAATGAATAGTACTGGTGATTAGCGTATATATGATTTTTAAAATCTCATAATCAGATTACAGTTTATTTTTATGGATTACATGCTTATTATCATTATTATAATGATAATTTATTCACACAATTGTAGTGAATTATTTATAATTTGATCTTTTTTTTTTTTTTTTACATGTATTTCCTTAGTGTGCTTTGAAATATGCACCCTTTTGAATTTGAGGTCAAAAGTACCAAAAACAAATGACATGCATTTAAACAAGACAATGTGGGTGTTCAAGTGTTTTATTTTGTTTGTAAACCCACTGTAATTTGGGAAGGCATTGCAATGCAATGTTTAGTGCATTCAATATTGACAACAACAAACAATAAAATATATTGTAAAATATATATATATATATATATATAAAATATTTCTAATTTTACATCACATTCAAATCAAAACTGAGAGTAATCTATAAGTAGTTAGAGTACATGACCTAAAACAAGTAATCTGTCATTTATAATTATTATTAGACTTCAATTTTTAACCCCAGGTATCCTGACATTGACATCCTACCCATCAGATCATGCTGCCAACACTGTATTTAAATGGTTCTGAGGTTGGGGTTAGGCGTGGGATGATAATCGATTTCAATGTTTACCTTGGTTTGGAAAAGTCAAGGTTTAAAACCGCACAAACTTGTGTTATACATTACTAAGGTATATGTAAGGATATATCAGGTATATATTACTGTGTTTTTAATGTGTTGTAAAGAAATCTGTGTTATTGAAACTAATGAAGATAGCAGAGGTCAATGATTTATTTTAATTGTTTAGCCTGACTTGTTTAATGTTGCAAATTATTACAAAGGTTTCCTGTAAATAAAATATATTGTGTTCAATGTTTTTTTTTCCAAACGTTTTAAAATTATTTATTTTAGAGCAGTAATCACAATACCATGTTGGCGTGGCATTTTTATCCAAGGCTATCATTCCATCAGAAAGTTATACCCATGTCTAGTTGGTGTTAGGAATTAGGTAGATTAGGGCGATATTACAGCTTCATATCACACTATCCACATCAAAATTTACACTGGTAGCAAAAACTGATGGGTAGCATATTGCATCCTCAAAATGTGCAACCTACAGTACTTTTTAAATAGAAGGATGGACAATCTGACAAGGTAGGACAAATCGACAGAACACCAGCCCTGCTGTCATTATACGAGTTAAATATAATGCAAATGTGTTTTTAGAGTAACCCATCCCCCAATAAAGAACAAGTTTATCTCAGATGTCTTTACCTTCAAATGTAGACTTCCTAAAGATGAACTACTTGAAATTTGACAGCTGGACTGACTTTCTGCAAGAGATGAATCTGCAATGGGCCCAAAAGACACATGATTTGCATACATTACAATACAACAGAATAAATACTCATGCTAACCTAAAAATTAATTAATTAGCTTAAATTAATGGGTACTGAGAAACTACAGTGTTCACCATTTTACAGTGAGAAAGAGATGCCTAATCCTATTAATTAAACATGTACTATTACACTACATCGCTATTACATAGTTATTATTATATTATATATTTATGTATTTGGTTTTACATTTTATTATACCTACATGTGACCATCAACTATCCATTGAAACACCTGCAAGCACTATGCAAATACTACTTTACATATACTATCATGCATAGTATGCTAGTACCATCAAAGGCTGATAGTCAGATAACACAAATGTTTTCGTAAAGGATAAAGAAAGAAACCACGAATCAATATTCGTGTATTGGTTGAGCCATAAATAAAGTAAAACAAATAATGAAAGGACAGAGTTGAGAACAAAGGACAGAAGTGAATTCTGACCACCAACATTTGACTGACATCTTGTGTTCTTGTAAAGCAAAACAAACACCAGCTGTATCCCACTACAAAAACAAAACAGTTCTTATCTTCACAGAGTTTTCTTTGATACCGGCCAGTTTCATCCTTCATACCTGCTGGTTTTGGTTTCCTTTTTTTCCGCGAGAGAGTGAGCTGCACTTGTTGCTGTAGTCGGTTCAGCCGGTGCGCGTCGGCGAGCGTGAGTTTGTTCGCCAGCGGTAAAGCTAGTGAAGAGTCTTCGGGGTGGAAAGAGTCGTAAACCGGCAGCACGGAGCGCATGAAGTCCCTCTCCTCCGCCATCGAAGCGTCAGGTGTTGAGTCTCCGCTGGGCGTGAAGGAGTCCTGCGGTTGTTCTTTGTGTTCAGGGTGTGGTTTAAGCATGCGTCACCTCTCCAAAGATCGTGTTTCTGGCCGAGACTGAACACCTGAGCTCGGGGAGGTGGAGGCTGACGGGCGCTTTCACTGCGGATATCGACTCTGCTGTGGCTGGGAATGGCTGGCAGTGATGTGTGGACTTAGCATTGTTTATTGTAGAGCAACTGAGAAAACTTTCAGAACCCTTTAATCATTAGGCCACGCCCACAAGAGGTGACGCCACACACGAAAGTTTGTATAGGTGAAATGTTCTGCCATGGTAACCATTTATGGCAACACACAACAGTTATTATGTCTTGGTGTTATTCACTGTTATTACTTTAATGACGAGAATATTTTGTGCTATTATATAAATCAGCAGTTCACAAAAAGGGGCCCCGGGGCCCATATGAGGTACTCTGCTAATGTCTCAGGATGTCAAATAATCTGAAACTATTTTAATATGAAACAATTAGAAAATGTCTTATTTTGAATCACTCCGAATCTCCAACAGAAAAGTTTGTATAAATGTAATTGAGTATTTTTTTCCTATACAATTTTCCTATAGGTGTTTAACCTGTTCTGATTTATGCACTAGCCATGTGTGCTTTAAAGTCGAAAGAAATAGGCTATCTGTAAACGGAACAGAAAACCTAGATAGCAAGCATACAAATGTGGGCCACTTAAGTCATTCATGCGGCACAGGTGGTCTTCTTTCCGCCCAGACAAAATGAAGGTGAGCCTGAAGTGGCCCACCTGTACAATAGCAAACGAGAGCCAAAGATTCCAATTCACATGTGGGCCATTTAAGACAAAGATTTGGCACTTACGACATAATGTTATCTGAACGTGATCCTAATGTGGCCCATGTGGAAAATGATCAATTTGGCCCAAATGACAGAGGACAAATGTGGGCCATAGTTGGCAAAAAAAAAAATGTGCATAGTCATCTCAGGGTAATCTAGGTCTAAACCCAAAGTGGCTGTGAGCCTATAGTGGCCCATAGAAAATATGGCAAAAGTGGTCCAGTTATCCTAAAACACATGTGGGCCACTTTTGGTGAAAATTCGGCACAGCAAACTCTGGATGTGGGCTGGATGTAAGTGTCTAGTGTGGGCCGGTTCGGGGCCAAAACAAAACCAAACTGTAGCCCAAAATAGGGTCAGTTGTAGTTCATTTGGTTGAATTCTGGCTGAAATGTGATATTGCTATGACTTAATTGTGGCCCAGATTTGGCAAACAGGAGCATACCACCCAAGTGCCATAATTGCATGCGGTATGTAGGCCTAATGTAAGTGTTTGGTGTGGGCCGGATTTGAGCCACATGAATCTTGCTAGCTGGCAATGTGCATTTTCTGCCAATGCATTGTTATTTATATATATATATATATATATATATATATATATATATATATATATATATATATATATATATATATATATATATATATACTTTCAGTGTAGGCTAATCTTAAAAGTGGGATTTCTAGTCACATATAAATTTGTTCTGTTTGGTCAACACATCATGCTCCTTTGAAATGACAATAAATTAATTACTTACTGTCAGTAATCATGCTTATTGTTTTAAATCGCTGGAAAACTTTTGAAACTAATTTGCTTACTTTGAATTCATGCAATGCTGCATAAGAGGCAGACTAAATTATGCCTGCTTTCACCCACCTCTGCACTAGCATTAAACATACAGTATTTTGATGTAAGCATTTATAATTGCTCTGTGCAACACTAAACTGGTCTTTTGTGTTTATAAAGACATGTAAATATCACCTTTGGACAGTTAAATAAAACAGCTACAGATATTGTAACAATACATTGTTTTAACCAACAGAGGGCGATGAAGTAATGTTCAGATTATGACATATGCATCTTGGCTGTAAGGGAAGGTTATTGTTGTTTATCTGAAGAACTAAAAGCACACTATATAAACATTTTATACTTATATATTGTATATTTATATGTATATTTGCATGGGTCAAAAACGTGATGCTTTATTTTGGTTTCTTCACAAAATTAAATTAAAAAAATTATTTTAAATAAATGGCAGGCTTATTAAATATAAGACAGTGTCTACACAGCAAATCCTTCAGAGTTAAAATAACACTGTAAGTATAATATAATGTTTACTCAGAGTGTTAAATTATAACACTGAGAGACAGTGTTAAGTGTTGATTGAGCATTAATGTCAGTTGCTGTTTTGGTTCTCCTCAGTGACTCTGCTTGTTAACAACAGGTGTTTATAAATGTTCAATCAACTATTAATTATCTCAGTGCCTCAGTTTATATAATTGATACAATTTCACATTCTGAGGGAGTATTGTATAAACACTGTATTTAACACTGCATCAGAGATTTTGCTGTGTGTGCATATGTTTCATATATCAATACTGTTAAACTAATGTTTTGTCATGGATTTAAACAAATAAAGGCAATTCATGTAAAATGAAACAATATGCTTATTTTTACCTGCTGTCCATATTTAATAAACGTGTGTGTGTGTAAATATATGATCAGACAATAAATGTGTAACATATTGTCATAATGGCATAAAATACAGTATAAAAATTTGTTTTGGAGCAGTACTGTGGTCCTTAAATAGTTTTTAAACGTCAAAATGTAAATGATTAGCAATTTAGTAAATATTTTCGACATACTATAAATCCTAAAATATATAACAATCATAATTTAGTTGTTTTTTTCCAAAAAAAAAAAAAAAAAAATTGCCCGTTGTAATTTACGGATAATAAACAAAATAAAAAAAAATAAATATTTGAAGGAGTAGAAATGTATTGAAAACACCACATGAACAAATACAATTATTTTGATGATGTTTATGCTTATTATTTTATTAATTTGTAAGCATGCTTTTTTCTTTTTATTCCTTTAAAACCTGTTTCAATACAGTTCAACTATTTGTTTTCAATAATTGTTATTCTTGTTTTTTTATTTTTAAATACTTGTTCTTTACTCTTGTTTATGTAAAGCACTTTAAATTACTATTGCGTATGAAATGTGCTATATAAATAAACTTGCCCTACCTTGCCTTGAAGAGTGAAAAATATTGACCTGCTTGTTTATTCATTTGTTTTTACAGATGAATCATAATATTTGAAACGCACAGCCTTTATCGGTGCGCGTTCTCGGAGAAACGCTCGTGCTGGCGGAGAAAGCTCCTTATTGGCTGACCGTGATCAGCTGAAGCGGTGCGTCAGTTCGCTCGCTCGTCAAAGCGCCTACAACTCTGAGCGCAGCAGCAAACGCTCCTCAAACCAAAAAAAACACCAACATACTCAGTTTTCCGAAAGTCTCTGCACAAAATATTGACGATTACCTTTCCCTGAAACCGCGTTTTAGTTGATTTCGTTCGCCTGGAAACGCTGGATATGGAGCAGGTTGGTTCTGAATAACGGACGCGGACAAAGCGGATCATCTGTAGCCGTGATGAGCGCGACTATGAGCGGCTCTGGATCTGCGCCCTGCCGCTTTGCACATTACTTCATAGTATGCGGATTAGACGACGAAACGGGACTTGAACCCGATGCTTTGGCAGGTAAGACTGGCTTTTGTGTTTTTGATAACACATAGTTGCGTGATGGTAAACACAGGATAGCAGGTTTGACAAACGCGAGCTGACGTGCACTGATTTTTTATGAGCCTTGATTACATTATGTACTCCTGATGTCATGTTGAAATGTGTGTTAATATGCTTGCTTGGGTGTAGTAGACTTCGTAGGTGACATGACATCACACTATTTAAGAAAGTGCACTGATTTTTGCACAGAGACAGGGACGAGAACATGATGTAAAAATGTATACAGGTATTAGCAAATTGTTTTGGGTTAATCTGGTCAACATGATGAGATTGGTTCAATCTTCAAGATATGTTTTTCATTCTATTCGTCTGGAAAAAAATATTCATATAATAATAATAATAATAATAATAGAAAAATTAACATGGCACAAATTTATCTTATATACTGACCAGTATAGCATTCTTTTCTGTGAATTGAGAAATCACTGGGATCTTAAAATGTTAAAAGAATGACCACATGAATGACCACATGTTTGTTTTTTATGCAATACTAACGTCTACAACATACATTAGTAAATTTGTTTTTATATCTTTAGACGATATGATCTAAAAATCTCTGACTACTGTATAGTTATTTTCATGGAGTGACTGCACAATTGCTTAAAATTCTGCAAATAATCTGTAACACAATGTATTCTCGTACTAAAAAAATAGAGATAGAGATATTGTAGAATGGTCTTAGAAGAATCAATGTAATAACTAATTACCTAAATGTAAAAAGAAACTGAAATCAATAGCGTTCAGTGTATCTGTTGTAGGAGGGATCAGATCGGTTCAATATTTAAGCGAGGACTGACTGGTGTCAACATTGAGCCTCAAGTCGTCAATAAAAACAATCATCCTCATCCTCACAGATTGATTGTCTGAATGCTTTTAGATGAATCATATTGGTGTCACTTTAAATCTGATGAGATCTGACATTCTGTTAATTAATATGATTTCATTTGTACAAAAATATGCAAAAGAAAGAAAAAATGATCCTACTCTGAACACAGTGTTTGTTATGATCATCATCTGTGTGCTTTGTGTTACAACAAATAGTTTGTAAGAGACACAAAATATTGATTTTAATAGATATAGATAATAGATAATAGATTTAGATAAATAAAATCTGATTTGTTATTATTATTTATTTCAAATTATTTATGCAACACCTGCTTGAATAATTTCACAACTTTATATAGCTTATGACATAATCGTATTGTCTTTATCGCACATATGCATCTGAAATGATACTAAACGTGCAGGTTTTTAAAGATATCACACAGCATAGCAGTTCAAAGTGCTTTCCATTGAGCCAGCTCACTGCTTTTGATTTGAGTCACTCATGCTGTGATTGCAATCAAAAGACTAGTCTTGGGTGGCTTGTTTTTGAGCGGCATGTGTCTAATATTATGTAGCTGTGGTGTTTTTGGCACCGCATGCATTATGCACATTTCTTGTAACTTGATTTGAAAGCATTGCCAAGAGCATAAGTGGAATTGTCAAAACAAACACTGCTTCTAAAAGCAACTACTACTTGTAATCCCAGTAGCCGGCCTGTCTACTCTCTAACCTTGTTTTTCTCCAGTCTTTGGCCTTGTTTTAACAGATGTGGGGGTGATCGCTGTACATGTTTAAGGCCTGGCACAGTTTAACAGGCTGGTGAACTGTGTGAAGAGCTAAGCTGCATGTGCCTGATGCTCTCGTGGATTAGATGTGTTGCTTTTAACCGAGAGAGAGAGAGAGAGAGAGAGAGAGAGAGAGAGAGAGAGAGAGAGAGAGAGAGAGAGAGAGAGAGAGAGCAGGTCATGCGGGATCATTACAGACTGATGAACCTGCTTAGAGCTTCTATTTTTGCTTTCAACAGAGGTTTTTAGAAGTTTGGGTTTTAAAGGTCAATAAGCCTGTGCAGTTGTCCTGGGAAATATTAGTTAAAGTTTATCCTCCAGCAGATGCAAAATAAAGTAAATGCACAAAAGTGTACAGCAGTATTTTTCCCTCGGTGGTAAATGTGACTGTGTTAGAAATAATGACTGTTGTCCATTTTTACCATGATTTATGAAATGATTGTTTTTGATGATAAAGTATGTCAGATTGAGACTCCATTAATGGATCACAATGCAGCTCCAAAATATGTATTATTTGTTATTTTTACCCTTTGACACAAGGCTTGTCACAATATCTATTTTCTTGTTGTATGATATATTGCACCAAAATATATTACGATAAACAATATTGTCATTTTATGCCACTCATTCTATAATGGCAGAATGACAATATAATCATAATGCAAGCACTCTTCCACAGAACACATCATATTTTATTCTTAAGGATATTTCATTTAATTATAGTAATTATAACAGTTTAATAATAGGCATAGGAATCAGAATGTGAAAATGTATATGCTAAATAAATAATAATAAATGTTAACAATACAAGTCCATTTTAAAAGTAATTTATAGTTAATCCTATAGTGTTTTTTTTGCCATACTGACACCACCAATAGAGAAAGAAATGTTGTGCAATCAGCTAAAATGTTGCTAGAACTGTTTTTTTTTTTATGTATGGGCAATGTATATTGCATCACTAAAAATGATTAAGCTCTTGTCTATGTGTTATTGATTGTTGTGACAGGCCTATTTGATGCAACCATCCATTAGGTTTATCGCACTTATCAGTAAGAAATTTGCAATAACTTAAATTCAATTCAAAATTAATATGATTTTTTTATTGTTGTTTATTTTTTTTTTACATAATCACGTGATTATAGCATATCCTATGAATATAAAAAGAGGACAATCAAAAAATCAATAGCAACCACTATACCAATAAATAAAAACATTGAACGAGGAACTTGATATATTTTTTTTATTCCCTTATTATTAATTAATAATGAATTGTTATATTTTTACATTTTTATTTAGGCCTTTGGCTTTTTTCTGCTTTTTCTTTATATACGTTTGCTTTAGTTTCATAAGTTTTAAATAAATTTTTGCAATTTCTTAATTTGATTGACAATTAGTTTTACTTCAGTTAAAGGGACAGTTCGGTTCATGTTTTTTCACCCAAAAATTAAAAATGTACTTACTATTGACTCACTCTCAATTGGTTCCAAACCTTTCTGAGGGTTCTGTATATATAAATATAACATAAAATAATATTTTGAGGAAAACTGATAAGCATTGATTTCTATAGGAATAAAAACAAATACTACAGAAGTTACTGGTTTTTAGCATTCTTCAAAGTATAATTTATATTCAACAGAAAAAAAATCTGTGAAGGGTTAGTAAATGAAGACAGATTTTTAGTTTTGGTCAAACTATCCTTTTAATGAACACAATTAAATAGTAATAATCTAGTTTTAATTTAAAACTAACAACCCTGAAATCAGTGTTTCCACAGACAGAACGCCCATTTCCCCTTTAGCGGATCCACTGGGAGACTGGTCTGCTTCCCTCGACCTGATAGAACAGATCTTGATTAAACAGTTTGAGCTTGATTAATTCACCTCTGTGTGTGTCCAGTGTCGTGGGGCCTGGGGTTTTATCAGCTTCCCAGATCACTCAGATAAGCCACGTGAACTGGCACAGAGATGCTTTATCCAAGATATCCCTGACCTTTGTCACAGATTGTCCCACTCTCTTGTCTGATCAATACGAAGTGTTTTTGAAAGCCCCCCCTCACTCCACCCTGATACACCTGTATTCTCTGATGGCCTACTTTCTAACATTGGTTTGTAATTCAAACCGCTTGAAGATGGAAAGAGCAAGAGATGCTTTTCCTGATATATTTTTGGCCCTGTTTCCTCCGCTCCATTGTTCAGAGTGCACGTTTTTTTTCCTGCTGGATACTTCAGCGTGTTTCTGCATGACTGAGTGCGCAGTTGTCCAATCCCAGAGGGCCCTGCTCTCATACGACCGCTCGCTTTTCAGCATAATCATCACCGCTGGTCGCCTTTTCACTGTTCTGTCTGAGTATTTCAATGTTTGGACTGTGTCGAGGTTAATTGTAGTGATCATTCATTATGCAAGCACATCGATGGGTGTCATTTTGAGTTGTTGTGCCTCTTTCCTTGATGGCAGAGGCTTGTAAATGAGGTGTTCGGCCTCGGCTGGGATTACTGTTGTTGTAAGGTTGAGTATATTTTCGATCTCAGACTTGATTAAAAACAAGAAGGCAATTATACATTTATATTTCACTGTATTACATCTGTATAGCCATTAAGATGGAGTGCATGTGTGTGTATATAAAGTGTTTCAGCCCTTATTTAGGTCAAGGATGGACAAACCCAAATGTTTGGTCTATTTAAAAAAAAATATACACAGTTGAAGTCAGAATTATTAGCCTCCCTAAGTTACTAGCCCCGTTTATTTTTTTCTTACAGTTTCTGTTTGATGGAGAGATTTTTTTTCAACACATTTCTAAACATATTAGTTTGAATAACTCATTTCTAAAAACTGATTTATTATATCTTTGCGTTGATGACATTAAATCATATTTTACATGATATTTTTTAAGACACTTCTATACAGCTTAAAGTGACATTTAAAGGCTTAACTAGGTTAATGTGGTTAACTAGGCAGGATAGGATAATTATAGGCAAGTAATTGTAAAACAAGAATTTATTCTGTAGACTATCGGGGAAAAATATAGCCTAAAAGGGCTAATAATATTGACCTTAAAATGGTTTTAAAAAAATACAACTATATAATAATGTTTAACCAAACTTTAGTGTTTGTTCGTATTTGAATCAGCTTTTGGTTTAGATAATGTAGGATTTTTGTATATACACTCAAAAAAAAAGTGACATTTGTTTTGTTTTTTCAAACTACTTTTAAATTGAGCTGAAACAAAACAATTATTCTAATTGTTTTATGTTCAATCCACTTAAATTTGTAAAAAGTTAATCAATTAATTTCTTAATGTTGTCTCAACACAAATCGATTTTGTGGACTAGAGCTGTGAGATTAATTGAA